TAAAAACTTCTTGAATCAAATAATTAAATGATTCAATATTTAAATAAATGTTTGAATGAAACCAAAGTTTAAGCACCTGCACAAATGCCTGGAATTTCAACCTTAAAAAATCAAACATTTACTAGATATACATCTCCAGTCCCATTACAAGAGGATGTAATAATCTAAATTAAATTAGTAGAGAAGTTTTCGTAATTAAAGTGTTACATATTAGCCGAATCAAAGTAACATTTCCTAGATCTCAAATGCTACAATATCAAATAAATTTAATTTTTGAGAATATGTATCACACCTTAAATTAATATTACAATATATCTATTCATAATTCTTGTTTTATTAAAACATCAATACAATTTTTAGATATTTTATATAAAACAATCAAAAAATGCTTGAACAATTCAGATTTTTAAATAATCGGATATTTTAATTAGAGTAAATAAATTAAAAATTTTAAATTTTATTTGATTGACAAAGAAAACATGTTGAGAATAAGAAATGGAAGGATGATGCAGAAATTGAAGTAAAAGGAGAAATGAAGGACAAAAATAATAGCAAACAAAGAACAAAAACATAAAGAATAGATTAAAGAAACTAAGAAAACTTGTCCTAAAAGAGCTTAAGGAAAAAATAATATTAAAGTATATTAATTGCATAATATTAAAATAATCAAAAATGCTTTAACTCAAATAATAAAATATAATTATTTGTGAATATATATTTCAAAAGAAGTGGATTCTTTTTTTCTATAAATACTTGCTGATCAAGAATATTAATAGTCAAATTTTCTTAAGTATTTGGATTAACAATATACTAAAAGTTTTTTTATTGAATTATAATAATTTATGGTGTTTGGATAAAGAAATCATCAAATCTATGCAGTTCAATTTATATTGAAATTTAAATAAAATAATTTTCTTAAATTAATAAAGTGAAACTAGTTTAAATTTTCTATGATTATAAAAAGATTATTAATTCAAATAGGTTTATTTCAATGGTAATTTTAATAAATAGATCAAAATAATATAGTAATATCATTTATGTATGATAATTATTAGATTTAGACATTCCAAAAAGATTATGGCGTTTAAGACTAATTATATTTTAATCTTGTAAATGAGTAAACGAATATAAATAAGATGTAGGCTTTAAGATGGGTTCTAACTCTTGCAGTTCACTTCCAATATTCATAGCATTTTATCTGAAAATTGATAAGCCTTTGCTGAAAAAATATATAAAAATAATTATATTTTATAATTCAAAAATAAATGAGCATTAGAGAGAAATTATTGAGGGTTAAGTAATCTGCACCACTCTATAAATTGTAAACTCCTCAGGTTTTAAAAGAAGAGTGCTTAAATGCAAATTCAAAAAAATGGTTGACAAAAGGAATTGATATCACAGATTATTTTAACTATGGATTTAATGATGCCACTTTAAAATTATTCATCCAAAAGCTTAATAAGTTAACTGATCTCAATTTAAGTAAGCTGCAAAAAGAATATACTGCTAGAATTGCTTAATAGAAAGCTACAGTTTTCAAGGATAATATTCCGATTGATTATGGAGGTCTTGGAATAACCTCAGTGTCTGAGTGCCTACCAGAAGAAATTGATTGTTAGAAGGAATCTTTGATTTTTTAAAGCATAGATTACGAAGGCGATTTGATATTTACTAATGAAACAATCCTTGATATATTTAGACATTACAAATAGTATTTAGAATAGCTAGTTGCAAATGGTGATTATTTTGATTTCGAAGCTGTTATGTAGTATCCGAAAGAAGAAAATAAATGGCAGAAGGAATTAGAAAAGTTATTAAAGAAGGATAGTAATCAACTTATTGATGAGTTCCCTGATAAAAAAAGAATTAAACATGAAAAAAAGAAGTCAAAGAAAGAAAAAAAATAAAAAAAGGAGAAAAAGAAAAAGCACAAAAAGAAATACTCTCCAGATGATTCAATTTAGATAGTTCCATAATAAATTGTAGTTAAATAGGATTCTCCATCTATTGAATCCAACAAAATAGAATGTGAATTACAAATTGATTCCCTTTCTGATCATCTAAGTCAATAGCCTCAAGAAGAAATCTAACTCTCTTCCCCTTCTCCAATTCCAGAAATTCAATAGTAGCAGCTACCAACACCATAACCTCAAGAGCAGATTAGATAGAGAAATCATAATTGGCCTAGAAATCTAATTCATGGAATTCTTTAGGGAAATAAAAATTAACAAAAAAGATGATTAATATTTTAGCGTAAATTAATTCAATTTTCTGTAGCAGAATTTATTCCCTACTTTTCTTCTTAATCCGCAGGAGGCTTGTCTTGCTACTTCAAATTTTGTTTCTCTTGTGAAGCATTCTTTTTACCGGCAAATAGCTTTGTCCAAGAAAACATCCAACTAAACAAGTCTCCTATAGACAGTCCTTATTCTTTATCTTAGGGATATCCATTCTTCATAATAACAATTCTAAAGCATTCTATCAAGATTGCTTAAAATAATGAAATAATGAAGAATAACATAAAGAAATAGTAGAACAGAATTACAATCATTGAAACTATCGGAGAATAGTTTACAAATTGTGTGATATTTAATTACCCTTATATCTAATGCTAATATTTATATATATACCATAGTTAATTAACTGGCAATTGCTAAGGTAAATGAGGAATATTAAGGAAATACATTTCCATAAATAATTTAAAAGACCATAACAAATCCCAAAAATAAAGGAAACTCTATAGCCAAAAATGGAAGTAATTCCTTAAAACTTTTACTATAAGTTAAAAAGATGATTGCCACTCTATCATTCAATTTTAATATATAAGATAGCCTTAAAAACAAAAACATTATGCTGATTGTTAAAAATAGTTCTGCCTTTTTATATAAATCTGCCTCCAATTCCAAATGCTATTAAATAGCTTAATTCATTTACCACAAATTCTGCTTTATTTACTAGTTCCTAAGGATCCTATCCTTACAAAGACTATTACAATGACATAGCCACAGAGATTATAGTTAAAATTCCAACTCCACAATTGAAAAATCCGATTTCCATTGTTATATATAAAAATGCAGGCCCTAATTTACCTGTATTTATTTTAATCCTATAAAATCTATATGCAACAAAAGCTAACAAAATGCAAGCCATAATCAATTTAGTTATATCAATCTAAAATAAACGTTCACCATCCTCTCCATAATATAAATTTGGTATAAATCCAGTTAATTCTGCTCGGTAAGGCGTTAATTTATTTTGAGCATTTCTTTCTAATAAAAAATTAACTTAAATCCATAAATTGATACTAGGATTGTAAATTACAAAATTAATGAAGATAGCAGCCGTAGCCGCATCTAAAAATTATTCTCTTCTTAAATTGTTTATCTTTTCTAAAAAGGCTTCTGTAGTGATATCCCTATTAAATTCTACCACATATCCTCCATCAGTGTAAGTAGTCAAATTCCCTTTTTGGAAGTATTTGATTCCTAGTTCTTCTGCTGTCTAATAAGTATAATTTTTATAGTCTGATTTATTTGCTTTACTAGAATCATAGACAACATCAAAACAACTATATTTTTGTAACTCATTAACATATTTGTGGCATTCATACAAATCACTTCTAAGTATTCTCAATTAAATGCCTCCTATCATTTCATAATTAGAACGAAATGGATTGTCTCCCTTATCAGAATTATACATGGTTCCCCCAAGAAAGTTTTCCATATAATAATAAAATTCAGGGATTGTAGTTATTTTAGTATATTCTCCATTTGAACCTATTCCAATTAAATTATTAATGAAGGTGAAATTTAGATTTACAAATTAAGGACTTAAATAAGCTGTATAGCTAAGTAAAGTTAATATTAAGATGACTATGATGGAACTCAAGATAAGACAATTCATATCATCTAATTCAAACTTCTACTCTGATGCCTTATCAACATTGTTTTTTTCAAATTCTCTCTATTGCTCCTGGAACTCTTTTTAAATTTGTAATTCACTTATGTAGTATTTTAATCCTGGAAACTTTTAAAAAAATAGATTATATGTATCAATGGCTTTTATTCTATTTTTATGAACTGTAAATGCCCCTGAATAGCTGGCAGCTTTATTACCACCATTAATTTTGATACTGTCTATCTATAAGCTATTCAATGCTGGCTTCACAGTTTTTTTTTTTTATAGTAGTAGCGTAATCTAAGAAATATTTGAGACACCCCTATTTGTAAAAAAATCAATAACTTTCTCTTTTAATTCTATTCTAGAATGATTTTCATCTGTTAGCTCTAAATCATCCATAATTTCACTATCCTTTTCATCAAATTTTCTTAAATATGGAGCCAAATTCAAATAGTAGAATGCCAGTTCTTTTAGATTTTAGAATGTTGTTTCTTAATCTAACCTAAATGATGAACTTTCACCTTATTCTATACCTTCAATTGTTTATTTGATATTAATTGTGGGATATGGATTGATATATTCGTCTTTTTCCCCATTTTTTTTTCTATTTGTTTAAAATTTAACCATCTATTTGTTTGTTTGATCCAAATACTAGTTAAAAAATTCTAGCATTTGCATTTTCTCTAATTAAATCTCTTACTAGGGAGGTTTTTATGCCTCTGTCTGGGGTTAGACTTCTTTCGTAGTAGTTGAATGCTTAGCGGTTGTATGACCTACACTTAAAGTTTAATCATTCAACTCAAGCACCTTTTTTTCTCTCTACATTTTTCTTACCTTCTCCTATCTATCATTTAAGAGACATACACTTACACCCAATTTATTTTTTCTAATCTCAAAGTATTGTCATTTTTTAATTTTGTAATTTCTCTCTTCTTTGAATCTATTTCTTAATGCAACTTATTGATTTCTCCTTAAAGGCTTTTCATTTAGTCCTACAATGACTCTCCTTTCTTTTCCGACATGCAAGATTTATATAATTTAATAAATAGGCATACATACTATTATGAATCTCGCTATTATTAAAATATCCAAACTGAAATTTTACATTTAAATAAATTGCTTATTCTTACTACAATCTAAAAAAAAGAATCGATCTCTACTCTATAGAAATTACTCGAATAACTCCTCAAATATAAAAATAACAATTGGTAAAGAAATAACAGGTCCAATCTAAACAATTCAGTAAAAAAAGACATAATTAAATTAAAGAATTCTAATTATTTAACGAATTAATTAAATAGTGACTTGTTTTTTCTAGTAGATTATCCTGAGAATATACTAAGTATTTTATTGAATATATAAGATGTCAAAAAATGAATCAATAAAGCAATATAATAAGAGGATCAATTGCAATGCTGCTATAATTTGTATATTGATTAAAGGACTCTATTTAAGATTCTTATTAAATTAATTATTTTTTTGTATTTATATTCACTCAAAAACATATTGTTGAATTTAACTTTTATTTCTTATATTAATTCTTCATTTATCGCAAGTAATATTTAACCAACTTACTTGAATTTTACTTCTATACCAACATTTTGATAGTAAATAAACTGATTATAAAATATATCATATATGATTTGGATTCTGCATATAATCAATTAGATAGAATGAAGTTTCTTATAATATTTTTTTATAACATTTTTGATTTTTTTTATTAGTTTCTAATTATTAAGTGCAAATTCTTTAAACAAGTTCTATTTACTTCAAAATTTACACCAACAATGAAACAGATCGAATATATTATAAGTATCTTTTTAAATTGGAATTCTTAATCTTCTGAGTTTCTGCTTATTATAATTTGAAAATTGATCTAGAATATTGTTTTAACAATATTACTAGATTCATTTTGGAAATCATTCAATTTTTAAATTGTGTGTTTCAACTTTTATATTTTTTTCTCTAAATATCTCTTGTTTAACTTCTCTTATGGCAATTTATTTATTTGTTTCATAATCAATAGGTTATGTTGACAAGTCTCGAATAAAAATTCAAATATTATAATTTTTATAAATCAGATATCCAATTATTAATTACAATCACATTTTATGATAAATAATTTTAAATTATGTTTAAGTTGTTTCATTTATTAAAAACCGTTATTGATGCCAAAGTCAAGTACTAAAATTTGCTTTATAAAATCAATACACTTTTAAAAAATATTATTTTTTGAGGATTGCATAAACCCCATCTTTATAAAAATTATCTTAGAAATAATTATAATAATTTTTATAAAGAAGCAATTATGGGAAATATAATAATAAATCAATTTCCTCTTTACTCATTTCGATACGTTATTCAAATCTATACTTTATTGTTGATAATAATTATATTTCCTAATACTTTTTTAATTTATTCGTATGTCAACGAAAAAATTATCATTTCCTTATATTGTTTCCTTTATAATGCATGTTTTATTTAAGCTTATTATGCTAGAGATAGCTGTTGGAATAGGTCTTTTATTTTTTTTATAATAATGAATCAATGACTTAGCACTTGAATAATTCATTCTCAATGATTTCGCAACCTAAATTTAGTATTCATGATTAAAACCTGTTTTATCCGTTTTCCTTATTGAAAGACCATTTAAAACAATTGAATTTGTGTTTATAATGGAATTTTATGGTAACGTTTAGCTTCTGCATCTGTTGTTTAACTGCCTCTTTTTTAAAGGGACTCAAATCTAAATTCTGATGATTCTGATTGACCCTCTTGGTTACACTCAGAAATCACTAACTCATCAAAAGTAGTTTTGCTCATTTGAATATATTTACTATATTTATTAAATATGATCCAATGATATCAGGTCTTAATAATGGTTTATTATTAAATAAAAACTAAAAAAAATGTATCTAAATTGATGATGGCATAATTAATTATAACTATAAAATGATTTATAATTACAAGAATTTTGTAAGATATATATAAATAATAAATATTTCTAACACATTTTAATAATAAAAGAAAATATTTTATTTTAATTTAATATAATACTTTCTCATTTATATAATAAATAATCTTTATTCCTAAAATGTATCCTGATTGTATTCCAACTTTGTTTAGTTAATAATACTATTGCTAATTCTTCAAAAAATAGAGTTGCTAAATTGAAGCCCTTGTTATAATCATAATTTGATTGGTTACTAAACTTTGTGTTGTTAAAGATGTTTTATCAAATTAAAAATACATTAATAAAACCCAATAAATTTATATCTAATGCCATTCATTGTTAAGAAGGATCAAAAAATAAGGAATTCAAATATTATATTAAGTAAATTTAAAATGGTGTTAATTTTTTGGGTTGGAAAAATGAGAAATCAAAAATCAATACCATCTGATAAAATTGATTTAGGGTAAAATAGTATTAATATGCTATATATAACTTTTATTATGCTAATATTACTCAATTATTTATTCAATTTAATTAGCTAAAATAATAAGATATTCTTAAAAATCCACTTAAATAACTATAATTATTTTAGATTTTATTAAATATGATGATATTTCAATCTTTTTTTCCTTTAATAGAATTCCATATGGAACTTACATTTGATTTAATTTAATTCCAATTTTTTTGAATGTTTTCAACACTATCTTCAAAATTTTTGGCTTTATTTTAATATTCTTCCTAATAAGAAATATTCTTAATTTAATTACAAATTTTTCTCGTTGATATTGTTCGTATTCTCTTTATCTTAAATAGTCTTCGTAAGCCTCTCTTTCCCTTTCATTATAAAATTGGTTTTTTCTCTTTTCTTATTCATAATATTATTGTCGAGCCTAGTATTCTCTCTATTTCCTTAATAAAGCTTCTTATGCAAATTAATTCACTGCTTCTTCCCTTCTCCTCATCTCCTCTTCGTAATTATTCCTTTAGCCTTTTTGTTGATATTGTTATTATTATTATTGCTAATAGTAGAAATTTTAAGAAGCTTATTTGAAGGCTTATTCATATGCTGTTCTTGTGTTCCATTTTTAACTTTATTATTATTTTCATATACCTATAATTTTAGTTAGTACGATATGATTATTATTATTGATTAGCGTAATTTCTTCGAGGGTCTTAATATTACTCAGAATATTATTAACTTTATTAATTTGATCCAACATTTCTCATATTATCATAATCTCTCTTTGTATTTTCATCTGAAAGTATCTATAGAAGTATTCAAAATTATAACTTCATAAGCTTCATTGACTTCCTTAAATTTTTCTTCTCTTCCCTAATTAAGATCTGGATGAAATTTCTTTGCTAAAGCATAATAAGCCTTCTTTATAGCACTTTAATCATTTGTTTAGGATAGGTTGAGTATAGCATAGTAATCTTTGTGGTGATTAAATTTAGCAATTGCAAAGAAGCATTTATGACAATTCATAATAAGAATAATATAAAAATTGCAATATATTAATGTATGCTGATTAAGCATTTATGTATGATAAAAGAATTCCAATTCAGATGGATTCAATATATTAATATAACTTGGCTATGTCTAAATATTATAAACTCATTTATTTTTAATTTGAGTCTCTTGCTATTTGAGTGCTTCTTGTATATCCATAATATTTGTTTCAACAACAATTCCTGCCACAATAATTTCATCGATCAAAGCATTCATTTTGTCTGGATGGTAAAGGACATCTAGTTCGCATGCATTTTCAAAGATCTTGTCCATTAGATCCACGATATTTTAAATTAAGTCAAGAACACCTAATTCAGACTCATCTTCATCAATCACTGCAATGAAATACAAAGTTCCGAAAAATCTCATAACAATTTTACATTTTTTGTCATATATTCCATCCAGATCCTTAAAGAAATTACAACTATTAGGACTTAATTTGCTTGTCAATTATACTAACTTTTATTCAATTTATTGCTATCTAGCGACTAATTTTTAAGATTATTAATACACTCCACTTCATCGTAAAAACGACGAATACGAATTTTTCCACTGCTATTTACAATTAAAAAAACTTTAATCATTTTAATTAATAAATATTTATGTGATATAAATTAATCTCTTAATTTCAATGTAATTCTGTGATATATAAACAATCAATCACTATAATGGGTAGATTCATATGGTAATCAATTATATTAGTGAATTAGGTTACCTTAAAATATAGATTGATGTAGAGATTTATAATTTTCATAATACCTATTATATCTAATTAGCAATAAGAATGGATTGATTGTTAATTATTCGAGTTCTTAGATAGTAATAATAAAATATTCTAATGTTAAATAAAAGTTTAGTTTTTTAAAGTTTAACTGAAGTTTACAAAAAAAATCAATATATCATAATTGATAGGGTGCTGTAAATAAGTTTTAATCCAGAGGGTTTCAATATTCAATTGATATAATTATACAAAAATTTACTGGTGTGAATAATAGGTTTTGAATACGAAATTTAAATTATTGGCTATATGAATGGGAAGAAAAATAGAAAGTTGCAGTATTAATGTAATTTCTGAGTAAGTAGAGATAAAGAAGTAGAAATAGTAAATATATTTATCAAAAAATATCATTCTCGTATGAATAAAACTCGTATTAATCAAATATTGGCAAATTTAACTAATGGTTTACATAATATAAACTTCCTTCCATCTGAAAAATAAGAGTAATTATATTAAAACACAATAGGAAAATGAGTTAAAAATCAGAAATTATTGATATCATATTTGAATTTTGTAGATTAGGATATTATAAAATATTATGGTAAGGAAATAAAAACGTATAAATCACATATGAAATTATTTAATTACCTTTATTTGTCTCCTGCAAACTACTGTGAGGTTTAAACAGAAATTTTTTTAAATAATTGTTTCATCTTTTCATCTTCAAAAATTTTATATATTTCAATAACATAATGTTATACACTATTTTTAGATTTAATTAATTTATGAAAAATATTAAAAAATTGATCTTAACATTTCAGAATTAGAAATTAGAATAGCAATATTAAATGGAAAAGACAGGTTCAATATAAAAACCGATTTTCATTTTTATTATTGGGATATTTTTTATTTCTAACTTAGTTGTTTTAGGATTCCATTTTTTAGATCACTCAATTGAAACTTGGTATTTGAATGTCGCTTTTAGCATCTTATCTGTTTTACTTTTCATAATAGTTATAATGCTGAAAAAAATTCACTATCTCCAAGATGCTCTTACTATAGCAAATATTATTTTAGGATTTTTGGAATTGAATGTTGACCCAGCATCTACTAATAAATTAGAATTTTATACTTATGGAAATACCTTTATGTAGCTACAAGCTGTTTTGTATATAGTCTCAAATTTTAGTCATGCTGTCATTCAAGCTTTTAGTCATTTAATTTTACGACTTGCACTAACATCAATTTTATCAAAAAGAATTGACTTTCTCTTAGTTTTTATAAGTATCATAAGTACTTTTGTCATACTTGCGAGTATATATTATAATGAAAAAAATTCAAGACAGTGTTTTGTCTAGAACTTGAAGGAAAATTATTGGTTAAAAAATACTTCATTTATTATAGATTAACCTTTTATTAGGCTTAACTACATAAAAGAATATTTATTATTTAATTTAATAGGATCTCATAAAATAGAATGCTTTCCTGGATATGATAATTATTATTGTGAAGGATGTAATATTAGGAAACTATTAAGAATTTATATGACAGATAAAATTATTTCTGTTGAAGATCAACTACTTAAGCCCAAAATTCATCTCCCTTAAAAATTTTTAATATCTTATAAAAAACGAAAATTTTTATTAAAAATATGTTGTGTGGACATTCAAACTGTTGAATATTTGTTAATTCTTGAAAAAATCAATGCTGGCAATTAAAAAGGCGAGGAAATATAAATACAATAAAAAAATTGTATTCAATTTCTCAGTTCAAATAACAAACATATTCATTAAATTTTTTTTAATTGGGGAGCCTAATCTCTTTTATTGTTAAACAGAAGGATCATTAAAAAGATCAACTTATAAGAAATGATTCTTAAACTCTTCAAAATATATAAAATATATATTTTTCATAAAATTTCAATCGAGTTTGTGACATAAAATCAGAATACTTAAATTTTTACCTTCTATTATTAAATGAAGATATTTATGATGCAGATTTTTGAAATACTATCAACAATATAAAGAAGAAATTAATTTTAATCTCAAATAATTCTCAAAAGAAAGGGATGTGATATCTTAATTTAAATAATAAATATTGACCTATGTTCTTTTAAGCAATAGTTCGAATCAAATTTCTTTTTATAAAACCTTTCAAGTTTGCTGCTTAACCATCTTGAAATATAGGATAGTATTTAATTGCATTTTCGGAACTATCCCTTAAAATCATTTGCGTTTAAAACTTGAAATGAATATGTGTTTTTATACTCAATTTCTTATATTAAAAATTGTACATATCTAAATAACATATAATCAATATAATATGTTACTCCAATAATTTAAAATATAAAATTTAAAAATCTATATAAAGAATTTGCATTCTTTTTATATAGATTTGATATCAAATTGTAAATTCGTTGCTAAAATGGAAATTAAGTGTTCAATCTCTATGGTATATGATTGACTAGGTTGGAAAAAGTTATGTAGAATTATATAAATTTAAAACGTGTTCATCGTTTACATATTGATACGAATGTATTATTGATAATTAAATTGAATCTATATATTGCTTAGATAGATAGATTTAAAATAATTAAAACATATTTTTTGAGTAGAATTTGCCTAGACCTTGTTGATGAGAGGATTCTATTTAAATGTGATAAGTATTAATATTTAAGGTATTTGATTTCTGTTTATTTCTGACCACGTCAGCAAAATATATATATTAGTACTTATTTAGTGAGTTTTCTATAGGAATATTAAGTTTAACTAAAAAATAAATAAATGAATTTTATTGATTAAGATGATTGTAATATCCCTTTCGATTACGAGGATGATATGATTTTCCCTCCATGTTATGAAAACGTAGAAACTCCTGAACACAGCAAATCAACTGATTTTGAATAAAAGTTCAAAAACGATCGAAAAGAAAGAATTTTAAAGAAAAGAATAGAAAAAAAAAACAAAACTAAATCCGAATCAAATAATAATCTCTCAAAAGAAGAGCTCAGGAAATTAAGAAATAGAAATTCAGCTTAACAATCTAGAGATAGAAAAAAGCAATAATTTGATTCTCTGATCTTGGAGAACCAAAACTATTAGTTGTTACTAAAACAAAAGGAGGATCAAATATAATTATTGATGGAAGAGAACAATTAGTAAAGATTAAAAATATAATACTTGGAAGAATTAAAGTATATATTAATAAAATATTGATTAGTCAGAATTATAAATGTATGAGTTGTACTTAAGAAGCAAGTCATGAGATGATAAGAGTGAATGTCATTACTAAACAAAAGATGATGAATTATGGCTTATTGTCTCTATTAGCAATCACTTGTATTTTGTCCATTGTAAATAATGATTATGAATTCTCACCAAAACCCATATCATTACATTAGATTTCACACCAAAATTATGACTTTTTAGCTCCAAAACAACAATTTTCAAACTCAACATCATTGGCAATCTACAATGATTTAGCTATTCCAGAACATTAATTTAATAATTAAACACTCTTTTACAATTGCACAGGTAATGAAAAGGAGTGTTAGACATTTTTAAATATCATAAAGGCTGAAAATGCTAATAATTTATATTTTGTTAATGATGCCTCAGATCAAATACCTGCTAAGCAAGACCATCAATTCGATGAAGGAGAAAATGTTTACCTAATAAAAATTAAATAAGATGATGAAGATAACTTTATGATTTTTAGGGCAAAGTGCTAAATTACAGAAAGCAACAAGTTATTATTTGAGAGGGATAGTTACGATTCATTTAACAATAATAGCTTGTCATACTGATTTTACTCTCTTCATTTTATTTTAATTCTATTATTTATTCTATTATGCTTTTTATATTTAAAAATCTATAATTTCTTACAATTTTTTAAGTAATACAATTTTGCAACTCGATTAGTACTATCGCAATGTAAAATAATATAAGTTCTCTTTCATTATTAGTTTCTATTAAGGAAATATTCAAAATGCATTAAAATAAAGACTCTATTTAGAATATTAAATAAAAAGGAGACTAACTTAAATTAAATATGTTTAATAGTATTCTTCTGAAACAACTTATATAGATGTTTTTTATTAATTATTATCACTTGAAAGGCATTATAGCTATTAATTTTGATATTCTAAAATTTCATAATTCTTTGGTTCATAGCCTTCTAATGTTAACTAGCAATACTTGTATTTTTTAAAAGCATAAAAATATCCTTACCAACAGAATATCATTCCTAAATTAGGTTAAATTAATGCATGTATATTATTTATAATATTATTCATATTTCTAATTTCATTAAATGTTTCTCTTTTTCAGCAACTTTTCTTGCTCTTGCCCATTCATCTTCTAAATTTTTGAATTCTTCACTTAAATCCTTGAGTGTTTTTTCTATTGCATCATATGGTTTTATGGTTCCTTTGGTTTTTACCTTAATTTCTATTGTATGTTAAAGTGGATGAATTTGTCTTTATCTCGAAAATGTCACCTCCTTTTATTTTAATAGGTTCGTTCTCAATAAATTGCCTAAATAACATAAATGCATAGTTATACCTATTGTACGATCCTCTAAAATCAATTTTACACAGCAAGCATTATTCATTTTTTTCATCTTCCAAAATAACTTTTGATTCCTGTGTACTTTATTCTTTACTTCTTAGATGAAATTCCCTTAATTTACTTCTGAAATCTTCTCCGTTCATAAACTCTTGCTTTTAGTAATTTAATTATTTACAAATTAAATAAATTAAGGAATTTTTTAAGCCACATATATATGTTTACTAATAAATCTAATATATCTCTTGTTGATTTCATAATATTCTTCAGCTCATAAAAATTACTCCGTTAAATATTTAATGGATAAAATGACTAAAAATTGAATTGATATTTTGAATCAATTATTCTAGTTAATATAAAATATATAATTTATTTTAATGAATCGAATATTATTATTTTATCATGATTGATCCTTAATTGGCTATTGTTATTACTATTATCCATCTTCTTAAACTTGAGTTTCTTCGTTTACTCCTTATTTTTACTATTATGGTTCCACCTTTGGTTAATCTTAATTCATAATTTATCCTTAAACTTGTTCCTCATTTATTGAGTTTTTAATTGCCTAGTTAATTTTAGATACATCATCAGCTAACACCCACTTGCCATCAATAAGAACCTATTCTATGCCATCGACACTACGATTGTTTGCACCATTATATTAAAAACACATCATTTGTATAAATTAATTTAATTATATAAATATGTTGAGTAAGATATTCTGATGAAGCAATGATAATCGAAATTTGGAATATTAAACATTTTTCATCTAAATAAAGATTTAATTATATGGCTGAAATAAAAATACGACCTTGCTAATATAATTCTTTAAATTTATAATGCAAAACATAAGTGTATGGAGATCTTAATCTCAAAAATCTTTTTGATGTATGTAAACTAAATTATGTTTAATCCACTAAAAATGAAATAATTTATTATAATTATGATTACTTTCAAGTCGATTAAATAAAAGGTTGAATTTATGATGATGTTTGTTAATGAACATAAATTTTAATTAAGAAACTTATTTATAACAAGTCAATTATTATATTCTGCTTAAAAATAATTATTCAATCCTAGTTCTTCCTATTTTTGTTCTTTTTTCATTTCAAAATAGGAAAATTATGATTATCTTTATATTTCTTCCTTCGCCCTCTTTTAAAGCGTTAAAATTACACAATCAGGATATACTTTCTTCTCCCTAAATTATTCAATTCGACTCTATTATTAGAAAATAAATTTGCCTTATCTAATGTAATCAATAATCCGGCTGCTTATTTGGGTTCCAGAACATCCCAAATTTCATCAACTATAGTTTAACATTTCTCACTTTCTTTGACAATTGATTGTTGTATTTTGTAGATCTCAATTATTAGATTATCGTAATGAGATCTTTACTCTTGTATTGTTTATTGCATATTTTATATTTTTAGAATTTAATCATCGTCTAATCCAAATGAATTTAAGCAATTTATTTAGCTATCACTCATATCAAAGGAATAGAACTCACTCGATTATCTTTCTCTTTTGAATATGTCAACATCTAAATGATGAGAATTAGCATACCTTCTGAAGCAACCCAAAATAGGTATCTCATATGCATTGGCAACAACAAATCTATAAGCAATTCAAATACTTTGTTAATTGCCATCAAACGACCTTGACCAGATATACCGTATTTAAATCTTAACGAATTGGTAATCACTTTAATATTAGCCTCATTTCCCTCTTGATATGCTTTCTCCAACATGTCGAATTATTGTTTTCTATCAAGCAAAAACTGTTCCATCAGCTACATCAAACTAGGCTTGGATTCCACTTTCTTATTTTAATTCAATTGAGCTGTCAATTAAGCCACCTCACACTTTTATTAATTTAAAACCTTTTACTCTAAACTGTCAATGTATGCCTTTTTCCTCTATCTGGTGTTTTTGGCACTTTATCTTGCTTTTTCCTTTTTGTTGTTAGTGTCAGGAAGATCCAATTTGAAGTCTATTTTGTCATGGTACTTCTTTCTTATTTTTTTTTCAGACATTATAATTTTATCAAAATATTGTTATAGATTATCAAATTTACCATTCATTAGCAATATACTCCAAAGATACTCTAAGAGTAGTTACTGTTCTTTTCTCAGTCTCAATAGTGGGATCAGTATTACAGAAGTCATCCACATAATGAATCGATGCGAATTTGTTCTAAAATTCACTATATAAGATGATATAGATCATAACAGGCAATTCATCATCCATTGTTGTTAATTCACAATTACTGTTTTCATAAATTAATGCTAAACATATTGCATTAAATCTGTACATTTGATTAGACATATCATTTGTTAAATGGATCTGAGTTTATCCCTGGGATTGGTAGATTTATCCACTTTATTTAATTCAGCAATCCCATTCCAATATTAATGATTTAACCTATATTTATTTTTTATTTCCAGGAATTCCATGGTTTCATGTTCACTACACTTGGCAATTATTTGTGATCTCTATTTTCATTTATCAATACTTTTTGATGTTAAATTGATTCTCATTCTTCTCATTGAAATCAACATAAAAGTGAAATAGCTTATCATAAACCGATTCATACACCACCTTCTCAATAGCCATCAGATAATATTGATAATCATATTTCAATGTTTTCGATTTAAATTGCTAAAATGTATCAAGAACCAATTACGAACTTTCTTGCATGTATTTCTACAATTATTGTTTTTTTGGCTTTGCAATTGAATCAATGTCTTTCAAAATGAAATCCAACTTTTATTTAAAATCTTAATTGTCTTCCAAATAAATATAAATTCTATTCATTGAAATAGCTGTGATTGCAAAAGGGTTTATATAGCTCATATCATCCACAGGTTCAAAATCCTTATGAGTTTGATTGTACCTCTTAACCACAAAACAAACAGACAACAATACATCCTCATTCAATTTGTAATTCTAACTATAATGCTTAAATGTACTCCAGATAAAGCATCAATTTTGAGTTTCTATTTTGAATATTTCACCAAAATTAGGCTATTGTTACTTTAACTTGCTATGTAAGTTGGAGTGCACACATTCTTTATGATCTTTTGACAAAATGAATCAAGCTTAGTCTACAGAAACATCATTTGATTTGCTTCTCGCATAATGCAGGTGTAGTTACTCAAAAATTAAGAAATGTGAATTACTATTATTTAAGTTCTAGTGCTATTTAATCAAACACAGCTGGAGATTAACAATTTAAGGTGATTTAAGGTAGTAGATGACCATTCAATTGCATATTCGAGTGTTCTATAAGACTCTGAGATTCACCGGTTCTACGTTTTCTAATCTCTGATTGCATAATGCTTTTCTAAACCAATGTTTCAATTCTCTCACTATGACTGTAATCGATCATGGCCTTTGGTGAATCCCCAAGATGAAATTGTGATGTCATCAATCCACTGTCTCCTTCAATATGTCCGTAATTGTGCATGAATAATTATTTAATATAGTAAATTTTGAAAATAATTCATATTACATTTATTAATATTACAATCATATATACTAAATTTAATATTATCTTATGATTATATTTTAAAGATTCAATCGTCTCAATCAAATTTATGTATTTGGATGTAACCATGTATGCAGATTGATTTAAAATTGATTATGTTTAATCATATTAAATGATATCAAATTTTGATAAATACTTGGATATAAATAATAGAGATAGTTCATATATTCTCTTTAAGCTTAAATGTATTTCTAGAGAAGTAATAATTTGATCAATTTAATTATAAATAAATTTGTTTTTGTCAAAACAGTATCTGAATTATATTAATTATTATTGAATATTAATGGGATGTTTGTAAAGTATCGAATAAGGTTGGTTTAATTTAGACTCTTCATTTTAATTCATTTATTTGTTAATTTAAGTGTGGATCTAATATCAACACTATTTTCATAATTTAACAGTTATAAATTTTGACATAGAAATGCTGAATTTTCAAAGAATGATATAAATCTAGTGAATTAAATTGCTTGAGTTATCAGTTTATTTACATTTATTAAAAATTGGTTTGATGTATATTAGAATGAAATATTTCTAAAATTTTCTTGAAATCAAGATTTAATTTGAATTTACTTATGTTCTATAAGAAAATGCATATTACGATATTCCAATGAGATATAACGTATATTTAGTATTGATTGAGAAAAATAAATATTAATTCATTAATTTACAGATAATTAAGTATGCATTAGAAGACATCTTCAAATTAAAAGGTTTTCAACAATCAATATCAGATCGTAAAAAAACTTTCCTCAGGTTCATTTGGTGTAGTCTTCCTTGGGAATGACTTGCTGACAAAATAAGAAGTAGCAATAAAAGTGGAGAAGGAGGAAAATGAGGAAGTTCGTTCACTTGAGAGAGAAGTGCAGATTCTAAAAAAATTGGATGGAGCAGAGGGGTTTCCGAAATATTTTTGGTCTGGTGAAGATTAAGGTTATAATATTTTGGTAATCTAATTGTTGGGGAAGGACTTGGCTTATCATTTTAAACAATTGAAGAAATTCTCTCTAAAAACTGTATTGACTCTAGGGATTTAGGCAGTATAGATTTTAGAGAGATCTCATTAAAAAGGAGTTATTCATAGAGATTTAAAACCAGAAAACATGATTCTTGGAGTCGGTAGAGAAATCTCCAAATTATACTTAATTGATTTTGGCATTAGCAAAATATATAGGGATGCCAATGGGAAACACATGTAAGATAGAGGAATTAATTGATAGATCTTTTAAAGAGTAGAAATCCTTTTTAGGAACCACCAGATATGCATCCATAGCAGCTCATTTGGGACATGAATTAGGAAGAAAAGATGACCTGGAGTCTTTGATGTACATTTTGTTGTATTTCTTACGTGGGTATTAAGTTATTTAGTAATCAAGATAGTTGCCATGGTAGAATATGGTTAATGTCACTGACGACGAGAGAACAAAGAAGGTTGGAGAAATGAAGTTATCCCTTGAACATGAGCTATTTAAGGATTAGACAGGAGAGTTATAAAGAGTATATGAGTAAAAACTCTTATTAGATTTCATAGTTACATAAGAAGGTTATAATTTAAATAAGAGCCTAATTATAAAATGATTTTGCAGGAGTTGAAAAGGGCTGCAGATTCCACAAATACTGTGATAGATGGTAATTTTGATTGGACTGAAATTAAGTCATCCACACATTATCAGACAGATACAAATTAAAATCTAAGTCGTAATAACATTCCACTTAATTCCAATGAGATGAAAAAATCTATTGAAAAATAACTTTCAGGTCTTGTACAACATGGGTACTTACACCTTAATTATTATTATTCAGATCTAACAATCTATTGGCTCCACCTCCTGTAGGTTCTGCTCGCAATGCTTTCTAAAGAGATGATATTCGTAAGAATTCAAGTCTCACTTAATAAAGCAGTATTAATTATTGCTAATCTCTCAATCCAAATTATTAGAAATCAGTTTGTGAAGAGCCCTTGAATGAAGAATAATAACGCTATTATGATTTTGATAGTGTTGAAATTAGTGAGAATTAAAAAACAGACAGTTCTCTTCATAAAAAATACGATAAAATGAAAATGGGAATTTTTGTGTAATTTATTAAACTATATTTTATTTAGGCATTTTCTCCCAAAAACAATAAAACTCAAATGATTTTTTATATATATAACTTAATTTATCATTATTTTTTATGCTATTTCAAAAAGTCTTAAATAGGTTATGGAGCTCTTAATTATCATATAGCATAGAAAAGTTTTTGATAATGCAATAAATAGTTACCAAGTACAGCGAACTGGTTGCATTATTCCAAACTATGCCAAATCCATTTTGGATGCAGTCGAATAGTTATCTCCAGTTACAGTAATCTAAATAAATGCATTTTTATTTAAGAAGACCAAAATCTTTCAAAATATGACGCATATTATTTTATACAGTCTATTAAGCATTTCACTGGTTATTTTTTATTTTCTTAAAAATTTTTGATCTTATTATTTAATATATTCTAGCCAAGACCTACTAAGGCCAATAATATTGCCCCAATATTAATGAACCAAAAGATAGATGTTAGATCTTTCAACAGATTCCAAAACTTAAAAATGAATTAATTATCTATCTCTTTATTAATGGAACCTAAAAATATCATATTATATATTTAATACCAGAGAGAGGCTGAAGAAGATGTCAAAATAAATTAGCAAAATGCATCCAACAGTAATGAAGAGAGTGTCACTAATTCCATTTGCATCTCTCATAGAATAGATATAAAAAAGGAGTTTAATCAAGGTGCCCAATATCCCATAACTAAAATGGAAAATACTGGAGGTCCTAACATTATAGAGGGCATTTCCATAAGAAATAATGCTGCTGTCTTTAAAACAGTAACAGCCATTCTAATTCTGTTAAAGTAACATACCAATCCCCCATTATACACATTCTTATCTTAGAGATCTCCAGTCTATATTAAGTCTATAAATCTTAATGATAGCTATCAACTATTCATTAAACACGAATTAAGGGCAGCTTTTGTTTTGCTATTAAATTTATAATAAGAATTGAATTATGTTATTTAGATAATGATGAAAGAACAATACAAACAAAACATAAAAAAAATGACTGTATTTAGAGTTCCTGCACAATATCTTATAGCTAACATATTAAACAATCCAATAGAAATTCTATTCCAACAGATGCAAAGATAATTTTATCTATCTATCTGATGTCAGCCTATGCATAATAAAATCAGTAAAAAATTAGATAGAATAAATAAATATTAAATAAAACCTAATTAATCATTTATTGTAGCTAATATCAATATATAGGGTTTAAGTAACAGAATTTGATACTTTTAATTTCTTATTTACTTTAATTTATTAAAATTAATTACTTATGTATAGTTATTCTCAAATCAGCAATTAAGTAGAAATTCATTTGAAATATTAATAATTAAATAAGACATTAACCTAGTTGCTTGATCTTGATGAAACCTTAAAAATTATAAACAAAAACTTAAGCACTTACTTAGAAGCATAGTAATTATGGAAACTAATTACTTTTTATTAAGTTTAAAAAGATCTCAATTTCAATTCTTTATATTATTCTATCCAAGTTCAAGAGAGCAATATTGATAGATATGTAAAAATTAAATATTAATTTGATTTTGACATTGTTATTATTTATTTATATATATATGATATCGCACCCGTTTCCTGAAAGAGTCTTATCAACACCCTTACACCAACTTCCATACATTGTGAGTCAAATAAATAGTCAAATTCACAAAACATCACATGATATGACTAAATATTTAGAAGAGAATATATAAGTGTGCATGGAGTAGCATAATAAAAAAATCTAACTTCGGAAATAGATCAACAGCACTAATGAATAATATAAATTATTAGAAAATATAGGTGCACAATTATAAATAGCCATTGCCAATTTAAAAGGAGAATCTATTGAACATGATAATTAATCTTAAGATGGCGAAGAGAAATTATTGAATGCAATTAAAAATTAAAACTATGATGAAATGATTAAATTGTTCCAAATTATTAAGGATGAGGTATTATTGATTAAATGTGCTAAAATTGCAGCAAATTTATTGGCCACTCCAACAAAAACTTATAAGAATAAAATCAGATAATTTCTTGAAACTATTGCAAAGCATTAGCTTATTCCCTAATAATAAAAGGATGAAATTATTGAGATATGTGTCAAAGTCTGTATCTAAAAATGCTTTAAAATGTATTTTCAATAAAATGTATGGAATACAAATAAAAATTAAGTTACCTATTATTCAGATATCATTTAACTTTATTAAAAAAGGTATAAATATAGGTTATGATCTAGTTTTAATTGCACCTTCAAACTTTTGTCTGTCTTTAATCTTCCAAACTATCATTAAGCACATATTGCCAATAACATTTTCCAAAAGTTTAATTAGAATGTTTTAAATCATTTAGTTACTCATGATAATAGAGAAAAATCAATATAAGTCATTTTAAATTTTAAAAGTCTCTAACAAAATAATTTATTCTATCATTTGACTAACATATATTTAAAAAATTAATTAATTCCAACAATGAAAACGGAATTACAAATAAAAACTCTCTTGCTTATAATACGAAACCTTTATGTAAAACAAGACTAATAGCTTTTAAATATTGGGAATAAAAAGGATACTCAATAGCTTTTAGAATGGTGTAAATAGAATAAGTTAATTAATTATAATTTAAATTTATTTTAAGCATTATTTGATACTGAAATGTAATTATAACTCGATCTGCTTTTGTGATTGTAATAGTTTATTCATTTTTATAATTACAAATAGATAATTATAAACTATATATTCTCTAATTCATTTATATGATTATAAATAATTGTTTAAAAGTCTAAGAAGTATTTGTTCAATTTTTTTTATTATTATGTAAAATTAAATATTAAAGCCTTAATTTTATATCTGGTTTACTGAATCATGAAAATTATTTGAATATTGAGGAGGATTTCCAATTAAATATTTATTAAAAACAACCTAAAAGTCTAAACCAAAAGAGATTTTCATATTTAAAAGTTACTTCATTTTATTTTATATATTTATACAAGATTTTATTTTTAATTGTAATCAAAACCCCTTTCTCCCTTCCAATATTAGCATATTCTTTGGATATTTATATAATATTATTTGTTTAAATGGATTTACAATTTGAATTGACATACTTGATAATCATTAATCATTCAGGATGGATAAATTTTTTACTTATTATTATTTTAGCAGCATCTCCAATTAATTAATTTAATCGAATGTTTTGGCATTCTCAAGTAATTTCTTAATGTGATCTTTGTCGATTGTGGCATCTTTCAAATTGACTAAATTCATGTAATCTGTCAATTCGTCGGGCTTGAAGGATTCAACTGCTTTTTCACGTTCCTAAAACATAATAATAGAGGATTAACTGCCAATGTCACTTTATTGAAATCTAAAACTTTGAGATTAGGTAAAATGGCTATAACTTTATAGCGATAATCAGGTTGTTGAGTTATGAGATTACCATGCAAAATCAAGCGCTTTAACTTTTTGCAATTTCTTAATTAATACATTTCATTAATGTCTGTAAGTCTATTGTTCATCAGAATTAAGTTTTCAATGTTGGGTAACGAGTCAGAAATATCAGTCAATTTCGTGATCCTGTTATTGGATAGGTTTAAAGTTTTTAACCTGAAGTGATGAATTGATTACTATACCTTTTCAACAAGGTGAGATTTCCTAGTTTTTTGATATCATTATCCCCCAGATCAATGTGGTCGAAGAAATCCTACAATAAAGATTCTTGATACCAAAGTAGCTCCCAAATTTTCAATGGCTGTTATTTTCTTGGCTATAAAAATGGTAAGGAATAGACATACCTCTTAAATCAAGTTGTCGTTCATTCAATGGATTGATGAAATGATGGGACCCTTGAATCAACTCAGAATTAATTTTCATAAATTATATAAATTTATATTTAATGATTTGTGAATCTAAAGAATTAAAAGTAAAAAGTTTATTAAAATCCTCTAATCGGAGTTCAAAAACCATTATTAACATGCATGCCACAATGAAAATGTGAAAGACAATTGAGATTTCTTAAAATTCAAGGTTGTTCTAATGAAATTATATTTAAAAATTATATGCCTGTATTGTTACTTTTTAAAAGAAATAATGGATCTAATTCCATATTATGAGCATTATATAGTCTCTTTAGGTGTTGAGATTATTATTAATTAAATAAAATTAATAAAATCATTTCATGTTTTTTAAGTAAGATGTTGTATATATTGTAGTTTTGGTCGATTCTTTGGATTTGGTTTCCAATCGAAATTAGACAACTTGCTTAAGTAAGAAAACCTGACATTAGAAACAATCTTAAATGAAGATGACATATTGTCAGAATTGAAAATGTCTAGCTCTGGGAAGTTTGCTGACTTGTAAAATTATAATATGATTTTTAGTATTATCTCACATCCTAATGAGTACAAAAAAATGATCCATTACATTATTGATGATGTCTAGCCACAAGAATAAGATATTTAATAATACATTAAGTAATTGTTTATACGATCATAGATTTCAATTTATCATTAGCGAAGTGTTTAGTTCCGAGAATGAGAAACTAATTAATTATTTATTTGACAAACCCCTTGACAACCCCCAAGAAGATGTTTAAAATCCCCTAGACGACTAACAAACTGAATCTCAACCCACATAAGAATAAGAAGATAAAGAGTCGATTAGATAGCATTTGCTTGCTGATTTCTTGCAGGTTTTAGGAAATGATACTCTAGTTGTCACTACAGCTGGTTATGTTAACAAGATTATTGGAGCCATTATTCATAGAAGAGGACATGATGTAAAAGTCTATTACAATTATAATAGTTTTGGGAGTATTTAATAAAAAATCCAAAAGTCATAACAAATCTGTTCAAGCATGCTGAATTAAAACACATAACTGAAATCATTGAGAAACTGATCATATTAGACACAAACCAAGAAGAAAATGATGATAAAAATTATCTCAAGGAGAGATCTGATTTAATTATAAGAAGTCAGAAACTTTTATCTGTTGACTCAAATTCTAATGCAATCATCTCAAATTTATGCGATATCTTAATTGAACTCTACAAGAGAACTTTAATCTCACTTGAAACTATGACATCCTTGAGAACAATTTTATAGAATGTTGCCTAACCATAATATTTCATGAATCTTGCAATCTAGACTCAAAACACTGTAGTCTATAACTTATTAAACATTCAATTTGAATATTACATCAAGATTGAATAGATAGATGAGGGAAAGTATGCAGTGGATCTAAAAAATCTGTATTCTAGTTTAATTTCGCATTTACCATAAGCTTTGTCATAATAAGATCTATTTAAAGTGGCTTTTTAAACTTCTAAAGGTGATCAAGTAGTTCCACTTGGAGATGCAAAACTAGAATTAATTTCATTCATTATCTAACTCTGTTAAAGATAGGAAATAGCAGATTCATTTACTAAACCAATCATCTTCTTAAATATTTTAGATTTAGTCCTAAAATACCCCTCAAACAATCAATTATAAATATAATTTGATAAATTGGTCACATCAATCATCAAAAGTAAGAATACTCAATTGCAAAACCTATTATACTAAGATTAAGCCATTCTTCGATTTTTAATTGCGCATAATGGATCCGAATCAAGAAAACAAAAGCCTGCATTTCAAGGAGTCTTAACTAAAATTACAAATTATCTAAATTCCAATATTAATGAATCAGAGGAGTTAGCGAAATCTATTGATCAAATTAAAGATGAATGGAATACCTATATAGATGAGTTAAATGAAGTAAACTTAAAAGAATAACAATGGATGTGCGGAGTCAATCCAAGAATGAAGGAATAAGAAAATAGCTCAAATTACAATCCATTTGTGCCAATCCCATTAATTCCATATTAATCAGGAATAAGAAAAGTAGAAAGCAGTGATGATAATTCTATTACTTAAGAGAAGCAAGAATTCAATGAGGTTGAGTAAGAGGATAGTTAAAATAATGATAATTTAAACAATGATAACTAAAATTAGGATTAGGAATAGGAATAGAATAATGTGGTTAAATTTTAACCAATCGAGTTATTATTTAACAAAGAAGTTTAAATAAACAATTAAGAATTACCATAAATTTAAGAATTACAAATTACAGAAGATGTCGCTTAAGACCATGATGAATAAAAAGAAATTAAATAAAATGAATTGAAACCAGAACCAGAACCAACAGAGTTGATTGACTAACAATAACAACCTGAGTAACATCTGCAACAATAAGATTAAGAAAATTAACAAGAATTATGTGAACCAGAACCTTAATAACAAAATCAAATTTAAACTTAAGAACCTTAAGCAGAACCTGATGCACAATAACTAGTTCTAACATCTAATTCTTAAATGTAAGATGAGAATTGAAATAATATTATTATTAATATTATATTCTTTGTTCTTTCCTTAATGAAAACTCCAAATGGAAGTATTCTCTGTAATCTTTTTATCTTTGCTAAACACAAAGTTGAATTAAAAGATAAATCTTCTTAGTTAAATAATTGTTTGGGGTATTCAAAATTATTAAAATTAAACTTAAAAATTTAGATAACTCTCCTGTAATCTATTATTAAGAATAATATTATATATATTATATTTTAAATATCAAAATATTTTTATAATTAATTATGTTCATCTTTAAGCTTAATTATTTTGTCTGTTTTTAGTGAGACTATTACTAAAAGCAATTCAAAAATGCTGCATGCATAATTAGGATAAAGAACCTTTAACTACTACTTAAGCAAGAGTTTTTGATTAAATAACTAGATGATTGAAGGTATTTTATTCAAATAATATAATTTTAGTATAGAATATAAATGAATTGAGACTGTTTAAATATTTCTATACTAAAAATTATTTATTTAGTCTACAATTTATAAATGATATCTCAATAAATGAAGCTCTTTAAGCTAAGAATTGTCCAGCATATATTATATATGAGATTGCTATTTAAATTAGAATGATAATATTTAGATTTATAACAATTCTCTTCTTGTTTTTCTGAAACTTCTTAGGTTGATTTTGATTTAACTATTTGAATAAATTAATGAACTTGAATTAATATCTCTTAATTATATTAGAAAGTCTTGTAAATTATAAATGGAGTCTATGCTTATAAAATGAAAAAATATAAGTTGAATCAATATAATAAGAGCTTGCATAAATCAAAAGTGAATATATTGTTAGATTATTTTAATTGATATCATGAAATCTCAAAGATGTTAAACTTTGGCTACTCTATAATAGAGTCTATATTCTGGAACTGTAAACCTTGTTGTAGCAAAAACTAATGCACCAAGAATTCCTAAATATGTGGCTTAAGCAAACCAAGTGTTATGAATTTTCATTTATGTTAAATTTAATAATATCTAATTTAATTTATGTCGCTGTGATGAATTTCAAACAAATTCAATAATCAATTAATATCCTTCTAGGAGGTATCACAAGGTCAACTTTACTAATCTCATGCTTAGCACTTAATGATTCTATAAAATTTGATTACAACAACCACTATATATCAAATATTTTTACCTTTTATTTTTCATTATACATCCATATTCCATCTTTCAAATTAATTGCATTACTTTTAGATAGTTTTTAATCATTGAAATTAAAAATAGAATAAAGGGATACTTTATAAAAGTCACGAGAAATTAATGCATTTTTATAAAATTATATCCAAATTGCTTTATTTTGCGCTCAAACCTTTACTGATGAAATGTTCATAAAATTAAATTAATTATATTTCTTTTGAATTCAAAATAGCATCTCTATTATTATTCAATATTTTTGATATATTCCTAAGATTAAAATACTTTTAACCATTCTTTTAGTCGTAATCTCAAATACTTTTTCAAGTCTGATTATTCTTATTATCTATCTATTTGGTAATATCATGAATCTTCTCCATATTATTTTATCTATTCTAGAACTAATTATTCCAATTATTTAATAAATTCACAAACATAAAACTATCACAATGATCTTTTTAAATAATTATGCTTGACTAAATGAGAAGTATTATATTAATGAAGAAATATATCAATAATAATATTTAATATAATGATAATGGGGTTACATAATTAATCAAAGCTTTCTTCTTAAAAGGTACTATCTAGCTAATTTATTTCTTCTATTCTATCTTGGTAATTTTCTCATACCAGCACTAGGTTGAGTGACTTGAGCATTTTTCAATGTCTCTTTAATTGTTCTTGTCAATCTTGGTCCAATTTTCTTTGTTATTTTTTTATTAATCATTGTGCCCTTAGGTTAGTTTTAGCTCTTTTTATTAATTTATTCTCTAAATAATGGTTTCATAAAATCAAGATTAATTATAATAATTTAAATGGAAATTGTAGTTATAAATTCAGATAATATCAAATTCTGGTGTGTTTATATTAATTTATTAAACTTTAATGTATTAGATTAATCAGAATATATCAAATTTATATATGATAAAATCAACTTGTATTTTAATTTAAATGGAAATTTTATATAATAATATTTTCTGATGCATTTCTTACAAATAATAATTGTACTTCAAATAAGAGTTTCATGATTTAATTTGATTGCATTTAAGATAAGATTTAAATAAAATAATATTAATTTGAAATATCATGATGACCTCATTTTTTTCATCTTATTGTTGGTTAAGCTATTGTGTGAGTAATATAACTGTTGCTTATCGTTTTTTTCATTTAATTCAGTCATCTAAGGTATTATATCCTCTTCATCTAATATGTACTATTATTATATAATTAAGGCATCCTTCATATCATTATTTTGTTGTTCCACCAAAGGGGATCTTTTTTCTTCTTAATAAATTTAAACTGAATTCTATTATAATTTTTGATATTTCTTTTCAAACAACTTTTAATCAACCAAATTCTAATCCATATATTATATGATTTCCTCCTCATAATGATTAATCATCTATTCAACATTTCTCTTCACTTTGTGTTCCAAAGAATCATATTTAAGCTAATAATAAGGTTTTTTAGTACTGTAATATAGTTTTTAATTTTTTGGATCTCATCATATATTTTATCTACAAGAGATTTTTAGTAATCCTCTTTGACACCAAATCTTGATAGTAGTATAAAATAACATTCTAAAATCAATTCGAAAATAATATACTTGCTGCTTTATCATATTTAGCTTAATAAACTCCAAAATCCCCTTTATATTTGAAACTTAAAGGTGGTTCCTAAGGTTTTGCTTTAGGATCATCTGGATCTAGGAGTTTCTTCATTATTTCTTTTTCTAATTTGTTTCTTTCAGTTGACCATGTTTTATCAATAGGAAACCCTCTTCTGATGAACATGAAAAAGAATTGTCTATTATAATCATACATCATAAAGCATCTGAAAACCTTGGTCAAGGTTTCGATGCTGAAATCTTTTTCTGTATTGAATCCATGTTTGAAGTTCTTGAATAATACATTATTTTACTGCTTAGCTTTGTAATAAATTTTGGTTTGAATTAAACACATTACCTGAATTTGAAATAAGAAGTCCCCCTTATTCGTAATCAATGACAGAATCATGATTGGCCTTAGTGTCTCTCCTTAATTGATTCTCACACTCTTCAATTAAATTTTCAATTGCCCTCTGTTTTTAATTTTAAAGCTCTTCAGATGACAACTAATTTAGTAATAACCTGATGTACTTAAATATATTTGGGAACTTCTTGAATATACTTAGAGATCTAATCCAACGTTTTCGCTTAGCACTTTTCTTGTAATTCAGGATTAGAAAGTAATATAAAATAGTATCCTTCAGCATAAAATAGCAATATTACTTTAAGTAGCATCGCGTTAACATAGATAGCATCCTAATGTTGATTTAAATTAAAATGATTGAGGGAGTTAAGATTTGATCGCAATAAACTTGGACTGCAATTCTAGTTTCATATTGCTTATTTAGGAAGCAAGGAAAGCCTTATCACCTGAACTTAAATAGAACTATTCTTTTGAACAGTCATACAATGCAAAGCATTTAATAAGGGACATTTTTAGTAATTATTGGATTTTATTATTAAATCAAAACTGTATTATATAGTATGTTATAATATCTACAAAGATAATTGTCTATTGTTATAAATGATATAATTGAAGGATCATTGTTGATAATTAAATATAATTTTAAAAATATATAAGAGTAAAATAACAAAACTTATAGTGAAAATAGATAATTACTTTCGAATTGATTTTCAATATATAGATAATCGATTAAAGGAAAATATTAAAATATGATTTAAATAATCAAAATTATTTAAGATTTCTCCACTCTCTTTGAAATTACTATTAATTGAAAATGTTTAATTGAATTATTATTATTTGGTTAACTAAGCAATTCAACTTCTTAAAATCCTAATGTTAAAAAGGTTTATCAAAAGCAGATTAAATATATTAATAGGAATTCTTTTATTGAGAACTTCTTTATATAAAATGCAAAGCCGACTTTTTAAGCAGAATCATTATTGAGGAGATATGCCTTAAAATTCAAGCATTTTAACTAAAATAGGCTCTAACTATTATTAATTTTATTTTCAATATCCATACTTCCCTTTATTTCTTTTTCACATTTTGAATTAGACATTTAAGTCAAAATTTCACTTTTTATAACAATCTAAGGTTTTTATATTTTTCAGAATAGAATTTTTTTTTGTGATTAAGTCTTTCTAAGTCTTACATTTTATACCAAATAATTAACAAAAGTTGAAAATAAATAACCATGATCCTATTAGACTGACTCGTACAGATCTTATTGTGTACAGATTCTATAATTTCAGAAGTTAAGCACAAAGTTCTTCTATAAGCATTAGATATTTTTATCATTTACATTTGTTTCTTTTTTCGCTTGGATTGATATTGATAATCTTGGTTTTTGAGCTTAAAATCAGTCTCTTCGCTTGCTTTTATATCTTTAATTTAAGAATTTTGAGTAGAATAATTGATGTTAATTAATTTATTTTTTCTACATTGTCTCTTAGAACCCTTATGAGACAATCAATAAAAATCATTCTGTTTGTTTTACTTTATATTATTTAATGATTTATCATGACTTTTAATCATTTTTATAATTATTATTTTAGGGGATACAATTTTAAAATATAAAAATAATTAATTAAATAAAGAATAATTTGTAAAATTTTAATTTTTATAAGGTCATTCATAACAATATTAATGTAAAAGTTTAATCAACTATTGAATATGTCATGCTACCATGTTCCAATAATTTATTCTTTATTTTAATATTCAAATTAGCCCTTTCCATGTGCTTAATCACATGAGAAATTGCCCATATATTTTGATCCATCAGAAAAGTAAAGAACTCCGATTCCATTTTTTTGCCCCTGTTTCATTTATCCCTTATACTGGAGCCAATCTTTTCTTGACATATTCAAATGACTCTTTTCCTTTTCTTCCTTAGGTTAATTATACTGTACAACATCTCCTTCAGGAATGTCAAATACCCACATCCCTTCAGTAACCTTTTGATTATCAGAATTATAATAAGTACCTACCCCATGTCTTCTTCTGTTACATATTTAACCAATGTAATAAAATCCATTTGAATAATGTAACTTTCCTTATGATACAGTTAGGGTATTATCGAATTTGTTTTAAATTTAATTCTATTATTCTTTAATAGATGCTTGGCTTATATCGTTTTATTTAACTTTTTCAATTCTTAGATATTATGTTTATTATTAAGATGATTTTATCAAATTTTATGACACAATTGGGGTAGGTTATTTTGATTATTTAGTTTGATAGATATTATTGTCACTAAGAATCTCATTTTTGTTTTCCAAATGCTTATCAAATGAAACAATAAAAAAGTCTTATGTTTAATATTTTTCTTACAATCGATGCATTTAGAGACCTTAAAATAATTTACTGACCATATCATCTAATTCTACGAAGTCTGGTCTTTTGTTTTCATCTATTGTTAACATCAGATCAATAAGACGTAATAATTATTCATCCAAATTTGTTACGATAAGATCATCTTGAACCCTTCTCAAAGCAAAATCATCAACTTACCACCTTTTCCAGTCATAAACTTCTGGATGTTTAGCTTATATCAAGTATATCAAAATAAGACCGAAATTGAACACATCTGATTTATATCTATTGTGTTTTAGATACTAAAAATAGGTATATTTGTAACCTTGTCTTTCTTTGGAATAGCTTCAATCTGAGCTGGAGAAAATAACGCTGTTTTTTTTAATTCGTTCAAAGCTAATATATTAAATGCACATTCTTTATACTTTATTTATCATCATAGAGCTAAATGAAATCTTAAAACAAATTTGTGCGAATCGGTTTCTAGTACCTATCGACCAACTTATAAATTTCAGTGTTAAATGGAGTTTTAACAGTTACAATGTCATCAATGTCGAATCCAGACGGATAAATTTTATTTTATTGCTGAAATGCTAGACCAGAGACTACACAATCTAATAAGAACAAAATCTCATTCTATGAAAATGGTTATTTCATGATGACTTTTTTATGCCTTGTTAGAGGTTGTACTGGTTTGTCCATTAGTAGTATTATGTCGGTGTAAGGTATAAATATTTTCATAGATTCAATAATCGAAACATTGTGTATAGATAGTAGATTTGGGTGATTATGCAATTCGTATTTTGTTCTCCATTTCTTAACTAGATTCTTCATTTTATCCGATGAATCTCCCATTTTCGAATATATTAAGTCGAAATGAGGAATTTTATTATGCTAAATGCTATAGGAAGTATTAGTAAATAATTACATTTCTACCTACTTCATTGTCTAGAATATTTTATACTCATCTACATATGGCATAGGAACTTAAAATTTGGTCATGATTTCTCTCATTCTCATATCTTATTATACATCTAAAGAAGTCCCTTAGCATGATCCCATATTGTAATAATGATTAATAAAATAAACGAATATAATCTGAATCCAAAGCGATTATATACTCGGAAATAATTATTTTAATTGAATGCGATGTAAATTCTTATTTGCTTTTTCTACATTAGTAAAAATTCATATAACGATCTTAAGTATAATATTAATTTAAATTCGAGCTAGAGAATTTGATTTCTGATGATTTATTAAATTGCAGATACTATATTAGATTTGTTCCAGAGATCAGATTCCAGAAATAGTTAATTAAAAAATATGCAAGCGATAGATTAGTTAAAGTTGTAACTTCAACACAATTATAGAATAATAACTTTCTGAAATTTAATTAAGATTAAATATATAGTTGTGATTCCTATATAGTATTTTAGGACTAGAAGATGAAGGATTTTGTCTAAATGCTTGATTGGACTTAAAACTTTTCTTAATTAATTTTTATAATTACTGTATAATATCATTCTTTGTAAAATTCCTTTTATTTTCAATTATACCTTGATTCGTTAACTGTATTAACATAAATAATAAAGTATAACTAGAAGAACTCAAAAAGGTCATTTCTTGCATATTATAACGGTTAGGTCTAAAATATATAATAATTTTCATCTTCAACTTCGTTTTCAACATCCTATCAAACTCAATAATTTGTAACTATTAAAGAATTAATGCTTTATCAATTCTATTTCATACTACATATGTAGCTATATATCTGACAAAAGGTAAGGGGTTCTCTTTTAAGATTAATTATATTTTAGTGTTACAAGATCAAATATCCAAAGAAATAACTTGAAAATAATTGCATTTATAAATAATTTGTTTTGAATTCATAATTCTTGTAATATTCATTCAAACTAAATATCTAAAAGGTTGTATTGGAACTAGGGCTTAATTTATTAATATATTTCAGAAAATATGATTTTAGTGAATTTTTCAAAAGTAATTTCGAAATATCCTTTAATATTATATATTCATTTCTTATTTCGCCTCAAGCATTGCTTTAATCTAAACCTTATTACAAAATTTATGATTTTTCTCTATTTTAAGATTGTTTTATATGATTCTAATCTGATAATAAAAATATCACTCAAGATTCCAAAGCTGAATAAAGTGTTCCTTTTAGTTCCAATGCTATTTGTAATTTACTTAACATTTAACATAATATTGATATTATTATTTTTTAGTAAAATAAGTTGAATTTTTATAATAAATGCTAATACCTTATGAAATATAATTGATAAATTGAAATGTTTATAATTATAAATTCAATTGTATTTAATCATATTCTATTTGTTAAGCAAGGGATGTTATTCTAAGGTTAAGTACCAATTTTGGTCTTTTAAAGCAACTAGTCTACTCTAGCCAATAAGTCATAGTTTGGAACATAGGATCCCATTTGAGAATTTTATTTTGAATCACTTTGAGTATATAAAATTTATCCTAATGATGATTATTGAACATAAGTGAAAGGAGTTGTTTGAGAATTTTTCTATGGAGGTAATTAAGTATATGAATTAGGGGAAGTTTTGGGATAATTATTCGATGTTTAGGGGGTGATGTTCTAGGGTTTGAGTTATTAATAGCATAATGGAGATTATTGAGTAAAGGGTTTCTCAACTTTAATTTAGCCTTACTATTAATTTGTGGGAGTAATCCTTTGATTAGGGATTTACTCTTAAGTAGAAAATAAATCCCTCTTAGAGCCTTCGAATGAATATTTAAAGTCTGTTTTAATATCACTCTTAGGTTCCAATTTTAAGTCGTTTTTTGAACCAATTTTGTTATCAGATTTGATCACATTTTTATCTTCTGATTTAATCTCTGTTTTATACTCTTTAGGCTTTTCTTCTTGGACATCAGCATCTGTTTATTGCTTGTTTTATTTACTATAGATTGAGACTCTTCGAATTTAATCTTATCTTTGTTCTGCTTTGTTTTACATCTATAATTGCTTCTCATTCATCATTATTTATAGCTCTTAACTTGTAACATAGACAGATTCGACATTCTCTTTCACTGAATTATAAATGGAAGTAAATTGTTGGGTATTATTCTTGAATTCAGTCTATGCCTATTTTAGTTTGCTTAGAACTGAGTTCGTAAACTTCTCATCAGATGTATTGTTCAATCTGACAGGCTTGGTTTGACTTCCTTCGAAATTTTTTTAAGTTTCCATGTATATAGAAAATGGGGTTACTTTTTCATCGGCTATTTTATTCTTCAATACTTTGCAAAATTAGAGAATTTGCTTCTGCTCTATGTAAGGTAAGAGCTTATCAATTAATAGATTGAGTGCCTCACGTATATATTTAAGATCGGATTGAAAACTCTGCATTAAATAAATAATATAATCTTAAATCATATAAGTGAATTGGTAAAATAAGAAATAAATGGCGGCTTGATTAGTATAAATAGACTTTTTTGAAAAATAACAAGGAAGCATGTAGAAAAAACTAATAGAACATTTTCATATACATTATTGATTATATGATTAAATACCGTATATAATCAATTTAGAATACGGTTGATAAAAAAAGGGAAATGTTCAAATTTAAGGCATCAATAATAGTTGTCTAAATGTTATTGGATTCGATTTTATTCAAATAAATTATTTGTATTAGCTAATCAGTATTTTAATTATTTATTGAAAAATAATAAATTATATTCTAAATTATTATCCTAATTTGACTAGAAATTGTGAATTATAATATTACATTTCAGTTATTTATTTTATAAATTTTTAATTGAAAAAAAATTGATTTTTAAACTAATTCATTAATCATAGAAAGAGCAAATAGAGAATCGAAGATTCAATATATCTTAGTATAATAAAAATAGAATGTTATTTGTTACAATGATTTAAATTATTGTATGAAGAAAATCTTATTTATATATTACACTCACATATCCTTATATTTATATATAATTAGAAATGAATAATTTATTGTATTTATATATTATTGGAGGCACACTAGTTGGGGTTACGTGCCTCTATTTTTTGAAGCAATACATTAATGGAGGAGTCTGCAAAGTCAGGAAAGATATGACTGGGAAGGTAGTTTTGATAACAGGTATGAGATTCATTCACATATGAGGTGGCAACGCTGGAATTGGAGCAGAAACTGCTAAAAAGCTAGGAGAGATGGGTGCTGATATAATAATTGGTTGTCGAGATCTATTTAAGGCTTAGCAAATCCTAGATCAAATAAGGTCGGAATCAAGAGGGAATTAGAGACTTGTAATGTTGAAGCTTGATCTCACTGATCTTAGAGACATTGACTCCTTTGTTTAATAATTCAAAGCACTAAATATCTAGCATATAGATGTTTTAATAAACAATGCAGGAATTATGGCACCAAAGGAATACAAGATTAGTAAACAGGGATTCGAAATTCAATTTGGAACAAATCATATTGGTCACTTTTACTTAGGTCAAAAATTAGTATTTGCTCATATTAAAGTAGCTACCATTTTTAAAAAATTCCTAAAATCCAAGATTAGTGAATGTCTCATCTATGGCTCATAAATCTAGTGATGGTTTTGATCTAAACGATTTAGATTGTAATCGATTTGCAAATTCATCTTTATGGTCCACAAGATACACATTGAAAGCATACAGCTATTCAAAATTATGTAATATATTACACGCCATGGAATTTACTAAGAAATATGGAATACCTGCATAGTATGAATCTAAAATATCATAGTTCGCTTCATCCTGGAGTAGTCAGAACAGATTTATTTATTGAAATATATGGAGGCTGGAGGAAAATCATTTATTTTTTGATTTACCCATTTTGGTGGTACTTTACCAAATCCCCAGAGTAAGGAGCTTAAACCACTTTATACCTATCATTGGAAGACAAAGAAAATTTGTAAACAGGAGGATATTATAAGGATTGCTCTTTATAAACTCCAATGTTTGCTAATGAACAATTAGCAGCACAGTTGTGGGATAAGAGCATACAATTGTTAAAGGAGAAACAATTTGATCTATCATAATAGTGATGTCATAATAAAATTAATATATATGTAACTTCAATTGATAAAATGATGAACGTGAGGCTTCTACTAATCTACATAAGGAGTGATAAAGGATTCCCAACTGTATTTTTGATATTTAATCTCAAGAGAGTGTTATCTTTTACTAGTTATAAGTAAAATAGATTTATGTTGATTCAGGTATTACATATTATATTTTTATTAAAAATGGGAACTTGCTCAAATCGACCAGAACATAAGTAAATATCAGAAAATTTACGATTAAAAGCTATCATGATCTTCTAAAAAATCGATATCCATAACAAGGGGTATATTGACAAGGAGAGAACTTTGCAATTTTGGTAATCAAACTTTGCCAAATTAAATACGGAAGCCTTGTTTTCGTAAGTGGATTACAAAAAAAGCGGAAACATAACGGTTTAGGAATGGTTAGCTTTTTGGGATATAGTGAAACAACAAGGTTATACGGAATAGGAAATATCAGATGAAGTATGATTGCTCAATATATGATTGCAGTTAGATCAATTGTAAGAGGGCAAAGCTTGGGTGTAATTCTATAAAGTAGATGCCTACATCAGAGCGGATAGAGAGAGACATAAGACCTAAATCGATTCTATTGTTTAAATGGAGAAAAAAACATTGTAGAAATCAAAGTCTTTTAATTATAATTGAAATAAATAAATTTAAGATTTAAGATGTCTTTAAAACTAAATTATATCTCTGGCAATCCTAGAGCAAATAAAATCCTTGTTGCTGCTCAACTCGCCAACGTCGATGTTACCTCCTAACTCTTAGAATGGAAAGATTTGGAAGTATTCAATTCCTCTATTCCTCCTAGACACCTGAATTCTTAGCCAAGAATCCATTGGGCAAAGTCCCTGTTCTAGAGACCCCCGAAGGAATTTTGACTGAAAGCAACGCCATCCTTTAATATGTCGTCAGAGGAACACCATTGGTTGGAGCAAATGAATTCCAATAAGCCAAAGTCAAATAATGGTTAGACTTTACATCTGGAGAAATCGAACCATCTTTGATTCAACTCTTGTTGCCAGTCTTCGGACATTTCCCAATCAACCCAACTTAAGCAACCCAAGCTCATGCTGATTTGGATTGGAAATTCAAAGTATTGGAAGCCCATTTTGCCAAAAATTAATACTTGGTTGGTGATCAATTGACAATAGCTGATATTAATTTGGCTTCATACTTCTAAGGAATATTCTCATTCATTTATGGAGAAGACGACAGAGCTAAGTTAGTGAATATTCTTAGATGGTATAAATAAGTATCAGAGCTTCCAGCTTTCTTAAATGTATTTAATTCAATAATACTTAGTTATTCGGAAGAACAAGATATATAAAGAAACCCTTCCCTGCATTGTAATTTGCTGGACATGCTCATGGTCATGAACATCATGAAAAGAAGGAAAAGAAAGAGAAATAGCCTTAATAATAATAACCAAAACAAGAGAAACCAAAGAAGGAGGAAAAACCATAAAAGGCTGATGAAGAAGAGGAAGAGAAGCCAAAGAAATAAGTCTGTGAGTTTGATGCTTTACCACCCTCAACATTCAATATTGATGATTGGAAGAGATAATTCTTAGCTTCTAAAGACTAAGCTGCTGAATTCTAAAACTTCTGGACTGTCTTCGATTCATAAGGATGGTCTATCTGGATTGTCAAATACATTAAGGGAGAAGGTGAAGGAAAAGTACTTATTTCCTTCAGAAACAATTGCAATGGATTTTTACAAAGAGCTGATCCACACTTCAAGAAATGGGCATTTGCCATCCATGGTGTCTATGGAGATGTTCCAAATCTTGAAATCAGTGGTGCTTGGATCTGGAGAGGAACTGAAGTCCCATAATATTTGGTATTAGTGCATTCTAAATTTCTAGAAAGACCATCCAACATTTGAATACCTTCAACTTACAAAGCTTGATGCCTCAAAACCTGAAGATAGAGCCTTGTTTGAAGAATACTGGACCTAATAGACTGAAGACGAATCAAAAGTCTAAGGCTAAACAGCAAGAGCTTTATATTATTTTAGATGATATGTAATCTAATAATATCGTACACAATAAATAGAAATATAGATCATCTTCATTGTTTTATAACCATTTCCAAATGCATATAATCGATCTCTTCCTCCCCCATTTCTCTCAGATTTTGCAATAATAATTTTAATTCTCTATTCAATCCATTATCTCCTGTCTTTTTTAAATAGTGCACAATTGCTTGACTTACAAGTTGAACCTACTATGGGTTCTTGTTAGCACCCCAACTTTTAAGCAATGTCTAATAGATAAGTTCCTTAAGTTCCTCGCTGCTTATTTCCTTTTTTAAGATGAATTATAAAATCTAGATAATCTAAAAGATAATAGCACGATTGATGTTTGAAATGCTCAGGAATAAAGTCGTAACTATTTATATTACAATTTAATTGAAGTAATCCTATCCCTTTTCAATAAATTGAGACAAAGTTCTACCATAATTATATCGATACATACTTGAAAAACTATAAAATTTCCCTTTGCATTTCATATGAATTCAAAGTCAAAAAGGCTTCACAAATTACTTCTATTATTAAAAACAGATAAGGGGATTGAAATAATGTTTATTGACAATATCTTGTACATTCTTTGACAAATTCAACATAAACCTTCATCAAATCCGAATCTCTCCAGTGCTTAAATTACTCAATGCAAAATTAATGAATTTATTAACTACTTTAAAATGCCCATTAAGAAATAAACTAAAATTCTGAACTTCTACCTATTGCAATTGTGATTAACTACAACCATTAATGTTTTTAAATTGGATTTTGATAGAATATTTGAAATGAAATTTGCAGTAATGATATAATAGATTAGGAATGAGTTTAATAGTTTGATACCTTCATTATCATCCTAACTAATTAATATAGTTCATCATTGTTTGACAAACCTTATTATTCTTTAAATAGATTGATTAACGGTTCACTTATAGAAGAACATAACAAATCTGATATCTATTTTACTTAAGGGCTTATTTCTTCAATATTAGAATTAATCCAAGTTAAGATTGCAATAATTAAAGTAGTGATATAAGTGAATTGCTATTTAGTCAATAAACTAATATTGTTAAATAGTTGAAATTAGTTATTTGCAAAGTTGAACAACTATTATTTAATCAATTAAATACCTGGATTATGCAATCTATATTCCCTTGTGAATAAATTCGATAACATAATTTCAATATGCCTTCAACAAAACTACTTAACTAAGATTAATTAATAAAATCATTAAAATGTTGGTCTAGGAAGAGTACACAGTCAGATATCAATTGTTGATTCTTAAGTTCCCCATTATTACAAATTTATTCAAAGGCACTTATATTAAATTAAATATTTACATTCCAGCTAAAGATCCCAATAAAGGATGAAGCATATACTGGAAGAAGTACTTTGTAATAGAAAGCAATAACTCATTATTTAGATTTAATTAATTAGTTAATCCGCTAAACATTTACAGGGTTGTTTTTACAATAATTTCAAAATTCTAGCTGTTTGACAATTAAAGCACGAATTAAATAATTTATAGCACTAATGGGTTGTCAATTTAGAAGTCTGCTTCATCTATAATTGAACAAAGGCAAAACAATGCTGCTTCACTTTAAATAATCTATTCTGAGGTCTCAGCATTAGTGATAACCAAGTTTGATAAAATGATTTAAAAAAATGAATTCGTTTAATTAATTTATTCAGCACTCTTATATATGCTAATGAATATTTCTTTACAATGTTCTCTAAAATCAGAAGTAGAGATATTATAATCCTAACTTTCGCAGTCTGTTTTAGTAAAAAAGTCATTTTCATCTTCAGATTCTCCTGATAGAAATTATTTGGTTAATTTAATAGATTTTACTTTGCATCTATCTATTAAACATTGTAATATCTTCAACCCAATTCCTTGAAGCAAATTATTCTGTCTCATTAGACTCCAAAACTCAAAAGTTTGGAATACTATTTTCCTTTAAGGATTATTCACAATATTGACCATCATTGTTAATACTGGTTCTTCATACTTTGAATTTTAAACGATTGGATAAAAGTCACAAATAAACTTAGTTGCAAAGGATGCAAACATAACTGAGATTTAAGGAGAATAAATCTTTATTATAAATTCGAGCATTGCAATTAAATTTTATTGCACAATAGGCTCGGTAATGGGACTTTTAATATATTGTGAGTATGCAACAGCTTCGTATAGTAAAGAGAACAATTTATCAGAATATTCAAGTGCATTATTTTACAAAGCGTGTTATATTAACACTATTATTTGTTGAATCAATTTTGAATCTTTGAATAAGTTATATGAAAACTAAACCCAAGATTCAATGCATGAAATAGTTTATTTAAAAATATTCAAATCCTAGACACATAACAAACTTAGAAATATTTCTGAAAGTATACTTTCTTGTGTCTAGAATTCTAGTTGCAATTTCTATTATTCTTTTTTTGAATGGCATTCTTTGCTTTAAATTGCAATTTAATTCAGAATTTCAATACCTATTGGCATTTTTACCTTCATTAATTGTATTAATTCCTATAGTATTCTAAAAAGCATATATAATACTCTGATACCCTTTCCAAAGCTGAGAGTTACCTACAATAATGACTGCAAATGAGGAGCAAACTTAATTCAAGGCAATGTTTGATAGCGGTCTTCCTAATAAAGTTAAAAGATAAGGTTGTATGGTAATATCACATTCCTCCTTCAATCTTCTATAAATCAATTAACAAGCTATGAATTAGTATTCTTATTAAATATTTTATTAATCTAATATTTGTTAGGCAATAGTGAAAGCTTCCTTAGTTTGTTGCAATTTAAGGATATATTTGTTCGCTTCTTGACTTATACTCTTATCTGGATTTGCAAGATTCTAATATTGTTTAATAAATTCTTCTATGCTAAACATTTAAGTTAATAATTATTTTAAATTTAATTAATTTAATATTGACATTGCAGCATTCTATTTAATTTCTCTCTTTTCTACCTTGTCATGCTCTAAAATCTCTTCTCTTCTTCTCTTCAATTCTAATTTTAATCCCCATTTATTATTAAATTCTAGATTTAACCTATTTATAAAATTGGCAATATCTAAAGATCTCTCTTCCAACATTTAAAGTAATGGTAATTTAAATAAGATAGAAAAGAGAAGTAAAAACCAAGAGAGCTTAAATTGTAATTAATACAATTTTATTTATGTAGCATTGTAGGAATGATAAAGTTACTTTATTCTTTTACTAATTCTAACTAATAACAACAACTTTTCATTAGACTCAAATCTATATTAAATATCAGAATAATATCAATCAAACATGAATCATTTTTTAGTCCAATTCTCCACTTCTAATTGAATTAAAATCTTTTGAACTATTTTCAATATTTTAAACTAATTACTATCTAATAGATCAATAAATCCAAGTAGGTTAGTTTTACTAAATGTGAAATATTGTAATGAACTTATCATAGAGCAACATCTGAATTATTTATTAACTTATTAATTAGCTCTACAATATATATCTAAATTCTTACATTCTAAGCTATACTCTCGTGCATTGTGTATTCAATCTACTATAATGAAGTAGGATTTTCTAAAAATTACAGAATCCCTTCATTTTAGATATTTATAATTATATTTATTTCAAATCGAGTTAACAATCATAAATTAAAAGAGGCCGATATTTTTATTTATAATTTAATACTAACTTTAGCTCTTATGAATTGTTATTATTTATTATTCATTCTTTTTAAGCAAATAATTAATTGCAATATCATTGCTTATTGCATTAAAATAATTGAGAAATCTAATTGATTGGATTTCTGTTTGTAATAACACACTACATATTTAATTGATCAATCAAGATAAATCATTGATATTATAAACAATTGAGACAATTTATTAATGTTAATATACAATACATTATTAATAGATTTTCTTGAATAATATTATATTTTAAGTACAATTTTAATAAATGAAAATGGGGAAGTTCTGTAAATTAGGAAAAAGAACATTCTTGATAGAAGAATAATTGAGATGGAAAAATAAAAATATAAATCTAAAACAACCACAAAATTCTTTATATAAAAATAAATATTGATAATAATGTTTGTTAGAGCTCTTCGTCTCATAAACCCAATGGGATTCTAATGTAGAACTTTCAGATTCTGCTCAACTACTTAAAACAAGGAGTTATTAGAAGAAGTCACTGCTAAAGTATTGCAAGTCATGAAATCTGCTGCAAAATGCAAAGTTGACAAATTATCAGATAAAGTAAAAAGATTCCATATGTAGGCCACATTCGAAGAATTAGGATTTGACTCCTTAGATGCAGTTGAAATGGTTGTAGCTTTGGAAGAGAATTTTGGATTTGGTAATAATTTCAACAAATGAATTTAATAGATATATAAAATGAGGAAGCTGAAAGAATTAAGGGAGTGAACGAAGCAATTGCTGTATTCTATAAATATGTTGTTCAGAGGAACTAAACTTCAGTTAAATAATGATTAATAATCAATTAAACAAACAATATGAGTTTTTCTTTAATTCTTGACACATTCAAGGATTCCTTACAAAGAGAATCCAATACTCTTAATGTTGAATCGTTTTTGCTATACCATAATTTTTAATGATAATGCAAAAAGGCTTGATTATTTTTTTTTAAATTTGAAAAATGAATAACAATTCAAAAAACTGTATATGTATATATCTCACAGAGATAGAAAGAGATCAAATATAAACACCAAAACTTATATTAAATTATCAATGAAAATTATAGTGTTTATAATATTAATTATAAATGAGGATAGTCGTTCTAGTATTTTTGATGATGCTGCTTATGTTGTCGGAATAAAGAAAGCATTTTATGGGAGAATAGGGAATCAAAACTCACAATGCAGCTCCACCTCCAACTGCCAAACCAGGGACTCCAACAGCCTAACCATCGACTTCGTCTCCTTAACCACCACCATAATCAAATATAACAAACAATTCCACAACCGCAAGCAATGGTCCTACTAAAGAATAATTAGAGGCAGCCAACCCAGCCAGAAATATATGGTAAAGGTTATTTGGACAACTGGATTCTGTTCAGATTACTGCAGTTATGATTGTTATTTCATCCATTTTATTATTATGATTAATTTAACGATGGAGCCAAACCGTGATCTTCTTTGTAAAAAGATTGTTCACCTTACTAAAGTTATCCACATCTTAAACACTAAAAATGATGAATATGAAAGGATTCTGAAGGCTGTTGTTTAAGCATATGAGAAAGAAATGGATTACATTATAAAATAGTATCATATTCTTTTTTTAAATTGTAAGAGCAAATCAAATTATCCTTGCCTAAAAGCAGGCGTTAGATACATAAAATAAGAATAAAGATATTCACTAAGAATTGAAGTAGTTTCAAGAAAAAATTTAAAGGGAAAAGTGGGGCACATAGATGGAATTTATGTAGTATTAAAAAAAAATGGAAGAGAGGGAATAAAGTCTTATTGCTTTATATGAAAATAAAATTAGAGAAATGAAAAAGTAGACCGATTTTTTTTAATAGAAATTTGATGAGTATTCAGAATATATTGATAAATACCTTATGAAAGATGATGATCAAACAGGAGGGTCACAGAAACAGCTAGAAGAGGCAAATAAAATATGGAAAGAGAAATATGATTCACTAATGAAGAAAAAACTATAATTAGATGACCAAATTGAGGAAAAAGATACTCATATTCAATAGCAATAATTTGAGATTGATAATTTATTGAAAAAAATTGAAGAAGAGAAGAGAAAATATATGCAGGCACTAGATAGATTTGAAGACTTAAAGAAATAAAATTTAGACTAAAAATTGCAATAATTATAAAATGAAATAAATTTACTAAAATAAGAAATTTCTAATTTAAAAAATCAGAAGAACGATCTAAATAATCAGAAAAGCGATCTTATAAATCAGAAAAAAGACCTAACAACAAATAATCAAAAACTTTAAGATGAAATCAGTGAGCTTTAGCAGTGGATTGATAAATTAAATCTTGATATAAAAAATGCTAGATAAACAATCCAACAATCTTAAATTGATATGTTGAAACAGTAAAATGAATATTACAAATTAAAATAAATAAATAGCGAATTGGAAAATAGAATTAAAGAACTTAATTTGTAAATTGAAAAATTAAATTAATAATTGCTTGCACTTAAATAAGAAGGATAAATAAGCAAAGCCCAATTAATAGAATAGATAAATAAACTTGAAGAATAACTTATATAAAAAAACTTTGAAATCAAAGAATTTCAAATGTAATAAACTGTATTATAAAAGAAAGCAGATATGTTTTAGATGGAGTCAGATGCTTTCAGAGAAGCAAGCTATAAGACCAACAGTGACAAATTGAAAGAGATTGAAGAATTAAAGAAAAAAGTCCGAAAATTCGAGGATTAAGTCGAAAATGTATAAATTTAACCAAAAACTTAAAGGGGAGAAATGGAAGATAAATATATAAATAAAACTTTATAAAATGAAAAAGAATAAAAAGAATTAGTTAAAAAATATGAGGAAACAATATTTAATATGAACATTGATCATGGATAAAAACTAAAAGAACTAAGGGAATTATTTGAAGAAAGAATTAATCATTTAGAAATCCTTCGTTCTGAAGAAATAGAATAAATGAAAAATGATTATAATAAGCATTAGAAATAGTTTGAGTAATTTTTACGTATGTTGGGTATTGGATAAGGATAATGGGAAAAACAATTAAAATAGGATGATTAAGAGTAGAAGCTTAAAGGACCTAATTAATAGTAAAATAATGAATAAGAGGTATAAAATATGATTTAAAATTAGTTAGTAAACAAAGATAATACGCAAATAAATGATGTACCTTAGGAAAATGAAACATAATAAATAAATGTAGATTAAAGTTTGGAAATCTAAAATATGTTAAATTAGTAATTTAAGGAATTTTAAAATGAAAAATAGTAGCTAATTAAAAATTATGAAAATTAGTTGTAATATGCTCATGAAAAATATGAAAAGTAGTTAAAAGATCAAAATTCAGAATTTTAAAATAGATTGAAATTACTTTAGATTAATTTAGAATAATCTTGGCCAGAATTTAAATCTGAAAAAAATGTAATTTCTGATCCAAAAACATAATTAGATAATTCATTAGAGATAAATTAGAATACTTCGTAAAAATATGAACAGTAAATAAAAGTGATGTAGCAAGAAATTAAATAACTAAACGCAAAATATCAATAAGCAGAAGGAGAATTTTCGAAATAAATAAAAGAAAAAGATCTATGGGTATAGGCGAGGAAAGATGAAGCTTAATAATTAGAACATCAATTACGTTAATCCCTTAATTCATAATTAAAAGAAAGTATAGTTAGATAAAAAGAATATGCTGAGAATTTAAAAAATGAGTTTCAATAAGCTTAACATTTTTTAATGCTAAAATTATAAATGGTTGAAGAAGAGTATATATTATCAATATAGTAGTTATTAAGAACTAATTAGCATCTACGATGCATAACCTAGATAACCTGAAAATATGCAAATGATTTAATAGTTATAATCATAACTCAAATTGAGGGATGAAGAAATCAAGAAATTAAATGAACAAATTCAAAATAATAAATCAGAATTAACTAATAACTCCAACCAATTTAATTTAAGACCTGTAATAGTAACACCCAGAATTTTGGAAAATAAATCAAAACCATAAAGTGGTAAAATGCAATAAAGAAAATGATCTATCATTTAATTTAATTTTCAGTAAATTCTGCAACTTGTACAGCATTCTCTATTCCTTGGTTTCTCCTCTTTTAAAAGTGAATGCAAAAGTATTTGACTTGCTTTTGGGGTGTTTTCCACAGAAAAAGTTGGCTATACACAACTGCTAGAATAAACAAAATCATCATAATTTTTTGATTTAATTAGAAACTCTTGCTAATGAGTTTATGTAGATGCATCATTCATATCCTTATCGACTTTTGGTTATTTTGCTATTTATTCCAACTCTTCTTCAAGCTTTTACTTATAATCAGTGAGTTAAAGATATTAGATATAATCGACATCTTCCTCTGATTCTTAACGTTGATGCTTCACAATTTAAGTAACTTCTATTTTCTCCTCTTTAGAACCTTCTTAAGGTATAGAAACAGCATTCAATTTCAGTTTTTATTGTAAATTTTATATGATTCTTTGATTTTCTTTATTATGAATGTCTTGTAACATAAATAATTCACTTAATTCTTTTAGTTATTGCTATCTTTCAGATATCATCTATTGTGTCGTTTTTATGTATTGTTCATCTTGGTTATTCTCTTATTAGTATTGATTAGTCAATTATTCCAACTCGTGCAATTACTAATAACTATAAGCTTCATACTTTAAATAATTAATCGAAATCCTCTTGTTATTTCAAACTTATCTCATCAATGTCTTGTAATTCTTTAAGTTACTATTATTGAATGGATGAAATTATTTCTTGATAATCACCTTCAACATCCTCAATCTAATTTTCATTCGAATTTTCCTTGTTTAATAAAGTTAATTAATACATCATCCTAAATCATTTCATTCTATTCAACTTTCTATTGTAAGTCAATTATAACTTATAATGCCCCATACAACTACTCTTCATAGTAAGGAATAGAATCTAAAGTAAGTTAATCCACAATTTCTTAATCCATAATAATTTTATTTATTATACTATCTGAAATAATCAACACTTTCATTTTCGTTATTCAATAGAAAAAACAGAAACTAAAATCTAACTGAATATACATAATATCAAAACTATAAATCTTTAACAAATGATTCTTATTTCTTTAATTAAATATAGCACTCCTTTTAAGCTTGTAAGTTTTTTTAAAGTTTGTGTTTCCTTTCCAAATATACAGTAATATAATAAATTGGATATCGATAAAGATATATATACAAAAATAATACTGTTATGATTTTGAAATTGAGTCAATGAATAATTAGTTTGTGTATTTATACTTAAAATATTTGATTGAATAATCAATAGTTAAAATCAAGGATCTTCATCAATAATTAGAATTAATATTTTATTTGACTAAATACTCAGGGTTTACTTTTTGTTTAGGATTTGATCTTAACTATGCTGTTGGAGAACTTACATTTTATATTTTAATTTAAGGGATTTTCATATTTGATAATTTCTATAATACATCTGGATTGACTTAAAATGGAACTGCAACTTCTATCTTTTAAGGTTATTATTATTATTATTGAACTTATTGAGTTTATTAAGTTTAAATCAATAATTAGGGTTTAGTTTAAAGAATCTATTACTAGGGCTTAGTTGGTTCAGGAGATTCATTTGACTTTATTTTTTGAGTAAGCATCTCAATTTTAGGCATATATTTCTATTTTACCTTAGAAATCTCTTCTTCCATCTAGGCATGCAAAAATGCTAAAAACTTTTTTCTCTCATCTTAATTCATATTTTCCATTTATTGTTCATCACTTAATTATTCATCAATAATTTCATTAATTATTTTTTCTTTCTTAGCGTATGTTACAAAATCTAATTCTTTTTCTCCTTTACTTTATACTTCTTCCTCTTTAATCACAAGAGTTCCACATTCCACCACTGTTCCACATGACTATTCTTCATCCTCACTATTTTCTTGTTTAGAGATCAAGGTCTATACATTTTCTAAATTTTCTTATGATTTTGATTATCTATACTCATCTATTTAATTGAGGAAATTCTCTATAAGATTTACTAACTTCTTTTAATCTTATTTTCCCTGTTTTATAAATGGTGACTAAAGTAATTGTTAAGCTGAAGGTCTTTCTGAGACTTACACCCTTAGGCAAGATTTAACGAAATCATTAAATTCCTTAGACCATTTTTCAGGATTGGTTAAACCCTAAGGAGGGTTATTTTTTATTGCAAACATTGCTCTTACCGGATGAATATGAGAATAAGGGGGTTTTCCTTCTGCAAGTTCTATAGCGGTGACTCCCAACGACCAAATATCTGTTAGATGGTTATATCGATTCTTAGATATAACTTCTGGAGACATATAAACGGGGGTGCCTATTACTGTACCCTTTTTATTAAAGTAGAAATACTTTATCTGCATTCGTATATATGAGTTGTGCAGCCACACCAAAATCAGCAATTTTAATTGTTCCTTTTTCATCCAATAATATATTTCCAGCCTTGATATCTCTGTGAATTTTTTTATTCGCATGCAAATATTCAATTCCAAGCAGTACATGATATAAAATTGCCGCTATCTCTGATTCAGTTAATGTCTTTTAAGTAATTTTCAATAAATCAATAATTGATCCTCCTACACAATATTCCATAACTAGCCATAAATTTCCATCCTTATAAAAGGAACCATAATATTGTACTATATGAGCATGTTAACATTCCTACTTACATAATTGATAATACTTTTAAGATCTGGATCTCCTTAATTAATGATTGAATTTCGCCATTTGAAGGAACTATTTTTATTGCCACAATTTAGCCGTTCTTATGCCTTCCCTTATAAACTTTTGCATAAGCACCTTGTCCAATTAATTCATTCAATTCAAATTATTCCTCAGGGTCTTAATTAGAATACATATAAATTATAAATATTTGTGATTATACAGTAATTTTTAATGATAATCAAATTTATATTTTACAACTTCAAAGCAGATAATTAATGGATAATGATTGAGAAGGTATTAAAAATTGTTGATTATACATAAAATAGAAATTGAGATATATTTTAATTAGATTAATATAGAAATTTTTAAAACTAAATATTTTTGGGGAATCAACAGTCTAATCAAATAAAAATGTTAGCGATCTTTTAGCTTGAGATCTACATGATTAATTTCCTAAATGTCAAATAATAATCCTGTGATTTGTATGATTCAGGTTAAGTATTAAGATTTGATTAGAAAAAGTATTTTAGAAAATATAAATTATTAAGTTATTTAAAATAGTCTAATACAATGAACGTTTAATAGGTTCCAATAACAAAACCTCCTTCTCGTTCACCTATGTAAACTTACAACATTGCAAAAATAATAAAAACAGAACCATCACAATCTGATAGATAATTTTCAGCTGGCCATAGATGTGAACGATCAATGCTTTCACCCAGTCTTCTTGATGAAGGGTCAGTTTTGGTTTAAAAGCTGCCACCTAATAAATTAGTAATAAATTTAAATATCAAGGTAAAAGCTTCAGGCAAATATCCAGAATTTTGCATTCGAGATTAAGATACAGGCAAAGTCATTGATATTCGTTTTTAAGATTGGAGAAACAATTGGTTTCTATATTTTTAATCTATTAGGAATACAAAGAGTCCAAATAATGCTAAATTGATAAAAGCAGTGAAAAATAATTCCTATAATGAGGTTAAAGAAATCCTTCTAAAAGACAAGCCTGACATTAATGCAAGAGATACAGATGGAAATACAGTGTTACATTTAAGTGTGATGAGTGGAAATTCTAAATTAGTTGGATTACTATTATATCATGAAGCTCAAATAGATTCATTAAATTCAAAATTATAAACTCCTTTAATGATTGCTTGTAGTTTAGGAATTGAGGAAATTACTTAACAATTAATTACAGCTGGAGCCGACATCAATTCTCAAGATATTAACAAAAACACTTGCCTTCATTTGGCAACCATGAATGAAAGATAGAAAATTATGGATTTATTATTAAATAAGCAAAGCTTGAATATGACTTTAAAGTATATTAAATTATAATAATTATAGGAACAAGGAGAATAAAATTGCTATGGATTATTCCTCCAATTAGTAGATGTTTCTATAGGCGATGCAAAAATAAAATAATAATTCAATTAAAATTTATGATGCAAGAACTGACTTTGGTAGTGAAAATTGCAATTCATTTAATGAAGATAAAGTAGGTCCTCATCATTTTAAAGTGCATGCTCTTATTGGGAAAGGCAGTTTTGGAGAAGTATATTTAGTTGAAAAATTGGACACAAATTAATTATTGGCTATGAAGGTTCTTCATAAATCAAAAATATAAAGTAATCTTAATTTATAATATCAGAACAAAATCTTACAAGATATGCATTAACTGAGAGAAATGTATTGTCATTAACTAAGCATCCATTTATTGTCAGATTAAGATATGCATTCTAAACTGCGGATAAACTCTGTCTTATTATGGATTATTGTCCTGGAGGAGATTTAAGTTCTCATTTGAGAAGAGAATAGAGATTTCCAGAAGAAAGAGTGAAATTGTATCTGACTTAAATGATTCTTGCTTTGGAAGATTTACATAAGAGAGATATAATATTCAGAGATTTGAAACCTGACAATATTGTTCTGGATGCAGATGGATATGCTATGCTAACAGATTTTGGTCTATCGAAAGAAGGAGTTTAAGAACATTATACTGGTGCAAGATCATTTTGCGGGTCTGTAGCATACTTAGCTCCTGAGATGCTTAAAAGATGTGGTCATGGAAAGGCTGTCGATTGGTACTTATTAGGAGTCGTAATGTATGAACTTTTAGTCGGACAACCTCCCTATTATGCTAATGATAGAGAAGAACTTTTTAATAATATTTAAAAGGCTGATTTAAAGCTGCCAACATACATTTCCCATGATGGGATTAATCTATTGAAAGCTGTAAATTATTATTTTATATGGTTTTTAGCTATTATAACGAAACCCAGCTAAAAGATTGGGTTCTGGTAAAGGAGATGCTGAAGAAATTAAAGCTCATCCCTACTTCAAAGATATCGAATGGGGTAAGGTTAAAGATAAAGAAATAAAAATGCCAATTTTGAGTAGAAAAACAAGATTCATTAAGGTTGAACATAATGTTTTTGAAATTGGTAGCTTTTTAGAATAATCCCATTTGGCTGGCTGGTCATTTGCAGAACATAAAATATAATAGTGATTTTAGTTTATACTTAATACAAATTGCAATGTCATCAATTTATAGAATTATTTATACTATCAAATTAATTATTTTTCTTCAATAGCACTTAATAATGGATTGATTTATTTGATTAATTAGATAAAAAAACATGGGAAAAAATTAGCGGGAATCCTTAAGAATGAGATTGAGATATAACGAGCCTGGTTCAGAAAATAAGCGAATAAATTATTTTAAGCTGAACTAAGGCTATGATATTACAGAAGATGATTCAGAATATATGGATGAATAAGACTCATACAAAGCATTTAAGAAGATTAGGAAATACAAAACAAAATCCAAAGAGGATAAAGTGTAAATTGTTATAGTTAATTAGAACTTGTGACAATTTAGAAGTGTTGTTATAATGGAAAGGATCAATTAATTGTCAATCTTATGAAACAGACCAAAAAAAGTAAACAATATATTCTAACATAAGGATTGTTGTTCTCAAAAAGATTTTAGGGACAGATCTATCCCAATATGCAAAAGGAGTTTAAGGAATTTTCATTGATAATCTTTTCAAAAAAGATTTAGTAATCTCTCTTAATATATATAGAAAAATTTAGATATATCCAAAAAGTTAATATCCAATGGAATTTTATTTATATGGTCTGATAAAAGCCTTATAAATGAAATTCTTGAAACTATGGAAAATAAAGGATTTACTTATATAGAAAATCTGGTTGTAGTACAGTTGAGCCTAGAGTAAGCTTTAGAAGAGTTGAATAAACATATGAAAATAGAACAGACTGAAGATGCTGTCTTAGATAACTTAGATTTTCTATAATAAAAGGTTTAGGTTAAAGATTTGATCTTGCATCGTCCTTCAAAAGTTTTAAATCAATCAAAATAAGTGTTGATAATGTTTAGGAAATTTGATGAATAAAAGTCCCAACTAGAATTAAGACATTAAAGAACTCCTGATGTATTATTTGACATTGTGAACAATGGAAAATCATGTTTAAAAACGAAAGAATATATTTATTAGACAATTGAAACTTTGCTCCCAAAATCTTAATTGATGGAGATTTTTGCATAAAAAGATCAACCTAGAAAAGGGTGGATTAGTGTTTGTGAAAATAAATGATAAACAAATTTAAATTCATTATAATGTTGAATTCAAAACTGTGATTTAATTTTCTAACAACTTTAAGTATTTTACTTCATTATTTATACATAGAATTTATTTTATTAGTTTTGTCTTGATTGATTAATGGCATATACAACTAATTAAAGATTAGTCTTCTTCAATTTTATTTAGTATTAATTCTTCTAAACATTTTGCATGATAACAATGAAAACATTCAAGTTAGTATTCATCTTCCTAAATTTCTTTTGTACAATATTTGCATAAGGAAACTAATTATTTCATAGACGAGAAAGAATTCTCTTAAGAAAAATTTTCTTCGCTAATTTCTAAATCAGTTTGCTCTATATTTTAAGGAAGATAATGTTTCTATTCATCTTAAGGTTAATCATATGCTTTATATTAACTTAGGAATTTTTAATAATACAAATTATTAATAGAAATACTACTATTTACTATCTAATCCTATGAAAAGGTTCTTCTTATTTTTTTTTATTCTGTGTCAATTTTATTTGGATTTGGTAATGAATTACGTCTTTTGAATTTTTCAGGATCTTTTATTTTCATTAGTTTAATTTTTCTTAATCTGATAGATTCATCAATTAGTTAAATTTCTTAATTGTCAAGAGAACTATCAGTTAACAAATCTGAGATATCCTCTTGTATCAATGGTACTTCGAGATGTACAACTTATTCAATTATTTATTAACTGTCAACATTTTTGGCATTTTATTCTTGCTAACCATCTTTATATCCATGAACAACCTAATAATTTCTTTATTTCATCGTTTATAAGAGACAACCCATCAGATTAATTAAAATATATGATATTTTTAATAATAAAAATAATTAAAAGGACTTGCTAAAAATTATCAATTTTCAATAATGTTTAGAATTAACAATTGTAAGAATTTTCTAATTCTTTAAATTCTATTTCAAATAATATCTGATAAATTAAATACCTATTGCGAAAACGATATGGAATTTCTCTTGTCTCCATAATGTCTTCAAAATGAAGTTCAAGTTTAATATAATCAATCTAAGAATAAATATAATACTAAATTTCATTCCTAATTTTCCATTATATATATTGAAAATAAATGATTAATTTTTTTTTTATAATAAGTATTTTTCAATCTAAATTTACATTGCCAAAATAAGTAAGATCTTATTAAAAACTGGATAAATCAAACTATGGAAAATTATAAAACTTTTTAAATTAATGGATAGATAAATCTAATTATATTAAAGATTAGTTAACTAATCAATAGAGTTAATACCTACTTTGCAAAAGGAATTTGTATAATATTGTTGTCAACATAGATTATTATTTCCTGCTAAATTTGATCTGATTAGATTTTATCGACTTTAGAAGAGTATTTATAAAACTTAATCATTTCTTGGCTAAATTCATTGTCTTTTTATTTAATTTCATGTTTTTCGATCCATGTTGCAATTTCTCTTTCTAAAGAATATTACAGGAGGAGAATAGTTTCTTTTCGAAATCTGATCTATTATGCTGCATATAATTTTAAAATTATCTTGGATTTTCATTATGTAAACTTTTTATGCAAAATTTGTTCTGCTCTATAAACTTGATAGATTTACATTGAATAATAAGACTATATAATTATTCTCCTTCTTAAAAAGCACATTACTAAATTTTAGTAATCTAATAACATTTCACTTCTAACATTTCATAATTTAATTATGTAATAAATACAACCTTCATATTTTCATTTGTACTTCATGCTTTGATTTATTATATTTTATAATCACACTTTTAGAAATATTAAATATTTATCTAGCTGTTTCTCGATTTGCTAAGAGTAAAGCAAAATGCAGCTCTTTTTGGTTCTATTTTTCATATTTTCATAAACTAAAGTCTTTTAACAATTTGAAGATCCTCTCTCTAAATTATGAAATTTTACATTTTTTTATTTTCTAATAGGATTCCGAATTTTTTGGTGGTAGAATTGGCTTTCCAAAAATTTAGAAGGCTTGATTTCTTGATAAATTATATAAATTTTTGGTTTTGTGGAACATTTTATATGATTTTAGCTATTTACTCCTATTTTTTGACTATTCTTAGTATCTTCTTTTTATCTTTCTAACTAGTAATAAGAATGAGCAGTTTTTTCACATAATGGCAAAATAATTATGACATCATCTCCAAGTTAACTCTATATCTATCTAGTTTTATTTTTTTAACATTAAGTATTATTTTCAATATTTATGTTTTAGAAATTTATTTAAAATTATACAACTTAATTCTAACATTATACTTCTGGAGTTAGATTCTTATTTGGTGGATGATGGAATAAACTAAGCAAGTTAATTTGTTTTTTATTATTTAACAAATTATTTTAATGGATTAAATTGAAATTGAAATAAAAGAGATGGACGCATTATATTTTGATAAAGAATGTGCAAGCTATCATCCCTCTAATAATGAATTATTAGAAAAGGACATCCATGAATATTAACATTTTAAAAATGTGATTGCATGCTTTTATAACTATATGAATGATATGAAAGTAGAGCTTTAAAGAATTAAGACTCATTTTGAAACACTCAACCCTGATTAAAGAAATAACTTATTAATGAATTATTAAGAAAGAATAAAAAAATTGGATTACTGCATAAAGAAAAATGCCAATTTTTGTTTCTTGATAGTAGCAGCTTATGTTGATATGTTTCCAGAGATGGATTTAAGTCAAGTGAAATTTGTATCAGATCTACCATATTTTCCTCATGCCCAGCATGGTGATATTTCAAAACTAAGAATAACCTTAAAATAATTTTATCGAGGTATAATTATATAAATTTAATCAAGATTGGAGCATTCAAGGATAAGCAGAAAGAGATTAATCTTATAAACCTATTATTGATTGCTTATAATAATATTATCCAGATGCAAAAACTAAAGATAAAAAATATTAGGTACTTTTACCTGGAGCAGGATTAGGAAGGCTCGTATTTGAATTGGCAAGTCGAGGCTTCGCAGCATAAGGAAATGAATTCTCTTATTTTATGCTTTTGAGTTCTCATTTTATTATCAATCTCACATAAAAGAAAAACTAATATGAATTATATCCTTTTGCCAATAACTTTTGCAATCGACTCAGGTAAATTTATTAATTAACTTTAGTGAAAACGACTAATTTGAATTAGTATAAATACCTGACATCGTTCCTGCAGAAGTTTTAACTGAAAATGACCAAATGTCATTTGTAGCTGGGGAATTTATTACAGTATATCATCAAGAAAAATACTTTAATTTTTGGGATAGCATTATTACTTGTTTCTTCATTGACACAGCAAATAATATATTAGATTATATAGACACTATCTATGAAATTTTAAAGCCGAAAGGAATTTGGATCAATTTTGGGCCATTGGAATATCATTTTGCTAATTAATTCTCAGAAACAAGCATTGAATTAAGCTATGAAGATATAAAACATTATATAAAATAAAAAGGATTTGAGGTTTCATTCGAATAAATGTAGGAATCAACTTATAATCATTCAAAATTAGATTAAAAATACTTAATGTATAATTGTATATTTTTTATGGCTGTAAAGAAGTGAATAATAAATTATTTTAAGATTTTGTTTCTTATAAAATACGATATTTAAGAATTTAAAAATAAAAATCAGAAATTTTTAATATAAATAAATAAATTATTATATTAATTCCACATGGCTAGCAAGAAGAAGCAACTTTTTAAAATCATCATCTTAGGTGATTCAGGGTAATTTTGTATTCTAAATAACTTTTAGAGTCGGAAAAACATCTTTGATGAATTAATATGTCAATGCAAGGTTCACTTAATAATACAGGGCTACAGTTGGAGCAGATTTTATGGCCAAAGAAGTTATGATTGATGATCGTATGGTTACACTTTAAGTATCATGAATTTATCATATTTTTATTAGATTTGGGACACTGCAGGTTAAGAGAGATTCCAATCATTAGGTGGTGCATTTTATAGAGGAGCTGATTGCTGCGTATTAGTTTACGATATCACAAATCCAAAATCATTTGATTCATTGGATTCATGGAGAGATGAATTTTTAATGTAAGGTTAACCAAAAGATCCAGAACATTTTCCTTTTGTTGTATTAGGAAATAAATTAGATAAAGCCTCAGAAAGAAAAGTTTAGGAATCTAAAGCTTAATAATGGTGTAAATCTCATGGAAACATATAATTCTTTGAAGTATCAGCTAAAGATGCCACAAACATTGAACAAGCTTTTCAAGACATTGCAAAAGCTGCTGCAAGTTAGGAAAAAGATGAAGAAATGTATCACTTTCTTATTCATTCTTTTTAGATTTTTCCCTACAACTGTGACATTAACTAAATAGAGCCAAAAACCATAAGCCAAATAAGGAGGATGTTGTTGATTCATTGAGGTTTTAAACACATTTCATAATAATATAATTTAAATCAATCTAAATTTTATTGCGTTTTTTTAAGTAAGCCAAATTAACTTCAACTTTATTATGAACAAATTGTATTTATTAATAATCATCAATAATATTTTAATCCAAATATTTATTTGAATCAAATTTACCATATCTATATTAAATTGAAAAATTAGATTTTTTAACAATTTAATTATATGTAGATTGTAAAAAGATTATTAGATTTTAAATTCTTATCAATTATGCTTTATTTTGAGAGATTAAATGATGATTTGTATGTAATTACTAATAAAAATAATAAAATCTTTAATAAAGTTGTATTATTGTCTTAATATTCTTTATTGGGTTTATTAAAAACTACAATGTTTTGTCTCTTTTCTATCCATTGTTGCAATTGAAATAAATTAAATAAAGTTGTTAAATAAGATTTTTTTTTGTACAAGAAACAATTTTGATTTCACTCCAAATTAAACTAATTGAATCAAAAAAATTACTATATCCAGAATTATTATTAAATAGTTTTCTTTATAAAACTCAAAAGTTATGATATATTATTATAATTTTTAATTATTTTTATCATATTAAAATATGCAGGGAAAATCGAACAAGAGATACTCTTTGATCCTTTAGTAAAATTTCTATCCGGAGTACCCAGTG